GTACAATGCTTTTCTATAGAAATTTAGCTACCGTGTCAATTCTTCTAATACAACAATATAAGGTGTACCTATACCTTTAGGGGTTACTGGTATCAGTAACCCCTAAAGTTAATTAACACGTGGAAATTGTAATGATTGAATGAACTGATCTGATGACGTATTAATACCCAATTATTTTAATTTTAGCAAAAGTTTCCTCAAAAAATGTTGCAGAGATCAGCCGTAATAAACGATAACTTATGAGAGATATTGCGAAGAACACTTATTTTTTTAAGGAATTGTTATTTATCGAATATTGCCTCGTTGGTTTAATGGTAGCGGTGTAAAACTAATAACAATCAACGGGTCGTGGATTCGATCCCCACCGCAATGTCTCTAATCCTCCTATATTTTTTTAAAACGCTTCGAAATCTTGGATTTCGTTATCCAAGTACGAAATCCCGCCCGGGTCACGAATCACCGTCCACAGATGAAAAAGGCCGTGAAATTTATATGCGTTTCCATCTGTGGATTCCCGAATATCCAAAGCCAAAATTTTGAATGTTGGCAACGCAAGATGCGTTATTGAGATGTTATAGAGCTGTGCATTTAAACTTAAATGCTTGGACTTCTCTATCATAAGAAAGAATAATAAAAATTTACTTTATGTATTGTTATACTAGCATGCGGAACCCTAATATTACTTAAGTAATTATTTATTGACGTCTAAGTGTGAATATCTTGCTATTTCTATTAATTTGGAACTTCCTTGAAAGTCTAATTAAGGAAGCATTAAATTGAGGTGAAGGTTGATTTTGTTTCATAGTTCACTATCGCTGTACGCATTAAATCCCGTTTTTTTACGTCTAGGCACAATTATGTGTCTGTTTAGCGACTAAAACGACTTTTATATTTTTCAAGATCGTTACCTCTCTCACTTTCAAAGCAATATACCGTACATATTTTTTTATTACAATTATTTTATTGATTACATTACTGTTACTACATGACTGATATAATACTACAGTTCACTTATATATCATATTTTACTCATTTTGATGAATAACTTCTACCAACTTCTATCTAAACTCTGCGCAAGCGCATTTTCCGCTTTAAAATAAAAATAGGTAAATAATCTTTTTGAGTTAAACGGTTTTATGTTAAACATTCATTGTAATGTTTAAGATAAATGTACTAAAAACCAAAAAATAATAAAATACATACAGTCGGGGGGAATTATAAACATATGCATAGACTAGACTAAAATAAAACCGTGAGGAACGTCAATTGTCTTCAAATTATCGAATTAATGTGCGATAGAAGAATCGTTTAATTCTTCGTTAGGCAGATGGGATTGATAAAACCTAAGTTATCCGCCATTTTGTAGCAGCCGCCATCTTGGATTTTAATTTTATATAGTACATTGTATTCTACTGGTTGAGCACTTTCATTTGATACCCATATTGATGGGATTGATAAAACCTACGTTATCCGCCATTTTGTAGCGGCCGCCATCTTGGATTTATAATGATAATGAATAAACATAATTGTATTGACACCAAAATCCAAAGTGTATACAAAATTTCACATTAATCGGTTGATAGGAAGAGGGTGAAATTTGATTTACTAAATTTGACCCAAGAATAAATAAATAAAACAAACGGGGTGAGCTAAATAAAACAGTTTAAAAACGATATGTTCATTAAATGTATAATACATAATACATATATACCATAACTACAATTAGATAATCTCTGGCTGCATATAATCTGCGTATTGATTTATAAATAAAGTTAAAATTTCCTTATCTAAAATCATATTCTTTTTATTTTGTTTTGTAATATTTTATTATCACGAACTGGTCGGTTCGCAATTCGACACACCTCATGATTCTACGCAGCACTTACAAATACCAATTAAGTGAAGCATGATAAACTCAAATATTATTCTTATACACACGATATATGGCAAAATCAAGAATATAACATTTACATAGCGCACAAAAGGCCATAAAAGTATATAAAATTAACTTTGTGGTGTGTATACGCTATTTTCCTTATATAATGCAATAGGGTGACTTTACACATTTTAAAATCGTTTTTTTTAAATTGTTCCTTTTATAAATTAGCTAGCTGTGTGAGCGACTTCGTCTGCGTAAAATATTAATTTTGGGGCATCCAATTTGTTTTTGCAAACCTCCTTCTCATCTTTATAAATTCTTGCAAGACAAACTTAACAGATAGTCAAATACTGCCGCAGACATTTTTTTAGGTAATTTAAAGAGGAATCATTCTTTCATACATACTTTTTGAGTGACTTGTACCATATTCGCAGCGTGCGCAACGGAAACCCACAATGATGAATAATTCCCCGTTTTTTCCACATTTCCCGCTGTTCCTTTGAACCAGTAGCTCTTGAGATTAGCGCGTTCAAACATACAAACAAACAAACTCTTCAGCTTTATACATTAGTATAGATAGATCTAAAGAACCCTTACGGGCTAACAAATACCTGTAATAGATGTTCACCGCAATTTAAATAGGTAACCCAATCGTACGCATGCACATTTAATATATCAAATAATAATACTGATATAGAGAATGACATACTCGTAATCCGCCATCTAAGGAGCTTGAAGAAAACACGTTTCATAGAATCTAAGCTCTATTGTTAACCCGTGACATTATTTTTTATGATAGAAAAGGACATACAAGCGTCGTATACACGATGAAAGGTAAAAAACCCAATCCGCATCTCGTCTATGGTATACTAAATAAGTTGCGCCGTGGACCTTTCTTGGCTTTGAATATTTGGAAATGCACAGACTGCAACCGAAACGCGATTAAACTTCGCGGCTTTTTTATCTGTAGACGGTGGTTCATGACCCGGAGGGAATTTCGATATTTCTACCACTCATTTAATAGCCCGATTTCCAGATGAAGTCTAGCATGTATAAATTAAGGTGTCTAATTCTGTATGCAGTTTATTTGGAAATTTTCCCAAAGAATTTACATTTGGGCGACAGTAATTTTTCCATTCAGACGAAATCGCGGACGACAGTTAGTTAAAAATAAAAATATAGACCCGTAATGTTAGTACTTTAAAATGTGTTCAATATTGTTATAACAGGTGTAGGAATAGCGTTATAAAAACAAGGTTAATTTATTCTGTAAACTTGAGAGGTCGCTGGTTAAACATCTATTTTCTCTAACTACTTATTGATTAAAAACGATTATAATACTAAAATAAAATGTTAGTAAATCTATACTAAGTATTATAAGCTGTAATGTTGCAGTAAACTTGGTTAAACACTAGCGGTTTTGGCTTTTAATTTGTTGCTTTTCAATCCGAATGTCCAAAATAAAATTTCCCTTTTACAGAGGTTTCGCATGCATTTTTACTCACACAAAAATAATTGTGTGTTTCTTTATGATGAATAATTTTAGATACCAGATCTCAAATGAAATTTTACCGTCTCAATAGCGCAATATTATCTTTGAATTCAAAAAACATGTTCATTCGTTCTATCCGGAATGTTAGACTTTGCAACTTCAGTCTAAATATATGAGTGAGGTTAAGGCAAAATTTGTTTCAACATAAAAGTTCTGACGTCTCCTTTCCAGATTCAAACTTTAAACTTATTACAGCAAAATCCCGACGTAAACAAGGTTTTTTAACTTTATCATTTTTTTACCTTCTTGTTCTTTAAACAAGATAAAATTGCGTCAATAAGTTTACATTGAAATAAATCATCTTTAGAGGGGTTTTCATTTCGTTCGCTGCGACAAAGGTTTGCAATACCCAAAAAATTTACTCAAAAATGTAACTAACAATTTGTCTATCGTTTAAGATTAACTCACAAGAACCGTTTTAAGGGAATCAAAATTCGTCGAAATACTTATGCCAAAATGTTTGCCAGGTCATCTAGTGTATTATAGATTAACAATTATTTACACGTTTTGTTCAAGTCTCCAGTCCCAATTAAACATACATCGCCTTTATAGGCAAGATTATACCGTACGCAGTCGACTTACACAGATAGGGTTCTGTACCACCTATCGCGTAAGTAGGTATACTTAAGAATTCTTTAGCACCCGGACGACGTCACCACCTATTTCCAAAACCACGCTGGTACCAGTATTTTTTTTTTATTCAAAAATCGAACTAACTTTTCACGCGTCGTCGATCCTTGTACGCTTACCACGATCCCAACGAAGCATAAATCATTGGTAATATTATTTAATTGCTCCTCATCAATTATGGATATTTCATAAAGTACTTATTATCTACAATCGACATTTCTATGTCATTTATTGCGCAGGAGAACGTGTTATTTCCATTCTTTAAACGATTATATTTAACCATTTACGTTGTAATAGCAAAGAAATATGTTATTAATATTAAATCTGTTTGTCTTTTTTTAATTCATTAGGTAGTAATTTATTATGTGGTAGAATTCAATTTTTAAGCTTCGTTTTTATGTTAATATTTATTTTTAGATTAATTTTTATCGTATGTAAATATTATATTTTGTTAAACCAGTATTCAACTAAAATAAACTACCCACTATGTACTATGTAGTTAGGCTAACAAAGTGCTTAATTAAAACATATACAAGTAAGTTAGTAGTAAGTAAGTAAATCTTTATGCAATTATCATTAAAGTATCTGTACCAGCGACTTCGTCCGCGTAGTTTTTTTAGGATTTCCATATCACAATATTTTAAGAATCTTGAATCGTCTATATAGCGCACGCAACGGACACTCTATAAGAGGGAAAGAGAAGAAATTTTCCTAGTTTCTTCCACATTTCCCACTGTTTCGTCTCTCCTATTGGTCGCGATCCTAGTAGTAGTTACTGACGTTAGCGCGTTCAAACGAACACATAAACACACTCCATAGCTTTATATATAATAATTTATATGTATAGATGCAATACTTATGACCATCGCGCGCTTCGAACTCGACCCTTTTAAATTTTTCTTATTATGTTATTCTATACGTTTATTATGTTTGTTATAGGACGAAACGGGAAGGCTTATGAGGAGGAACATCGTTAGGTACGCCATACTCGCCTACGTCATTACATTGCAGAGGGTGTCTTTACGAGTTAAACGCCGATTTCCGACATGGCAACACGTCGTGGACTCCGGTGAGTTTAAATTACCACCTTTTTTACCGAGAAGTAAAAAACGAGCGCGCAGTACGAAAAACAAAACACCTTAACAATGGATATTACTGATATTGCGGTGTGTCGAACACCACGTTCGAATTTTGAAAAGACTGTTTATGAGTCCGCTAGAGCCAGAACAGCCTAACTTCAATTTTGTGACTTATTTATGTTTTTATAGTCTAAAAATGTGAATCTACAATAGCAGAGTGGCCGAAAATTGTTAACATAATTTCTTACACAAATAATAGTACAAATTTATTTTCGCCTAAGTTAATAGAGCTCCTTATTCAAAATCATGTTTTTGTTTTCAGGCCACTCTGGCTCTAACAGCCCCATATAGTCCATATACATACATTCAAATTTAATTAACTTATTTAAAATTAATTTTAACAAAGACCCGACGTTTCGGATTCGCAACCATGGCGGGGATATATATCGCGTTTTAAACCGTTAAAATTGTTCTATATTAATAACTTCCACGCAAAACAATATTGTAATAATGTTATCTATATTTTTGTGGACTTCATGTCAGCGCTCAGTGTTCTAGAATATCTGAAATCCCAAAACAATTCCATTTTCAAATGTTTAACTGACTTTTCAACTGTATGGTTTGTCTACTTCGCTAGTCAATTTTCTAATCATATCAATATTGTTTATGTAAAAACTTATTCTTTTGTTATTTTAATAATAATACAGCCTTGTTATAGGACTGATGCTTGAAAGCGAGCGTAAGGTGTTCGAGAAAATGGACGGGAAAAGTCCCATGTCGAAGTACTGGATGCCGCTAGTGTGGGCGACGAATATCATCAACAGAGCTAGGAAGGAGGGTCTGATCACCAGTGACCATATAGTCCAAACTCTACTAGTTGAATTGTCTGATATAAGGAGACGTCTTGGTGCATTAATTGGATACGATACTGTCTGCGTACCTCTCGTTTATACACAGGTGAGATAAAATATGAGTACCTTGGCATGCAGGGTTAGAACTAGAGAATCGAACTTCCCGCTTACAAACCAAAAAAATTACATGACGTGCTCGTGGCCACGCAATCTTGCGCATCTAAGAACCAACGTTGACAATACTTGAACCTATGTTTTCACAATTAGATCCCCACCCGGTTCTATATGTTCCTAATCGATTTATAATTTTTCTGGTACTTTGACTTCGTCTAGAATCTATATATTTAATGGGCGGTAGGTACATTGAAAATCCGTCCGGGTAACGAAGCACAGTGCACAGATAAAAAAGCTGTGAAGTTTAATCGTGCTCGGTTCCAGTCTGTAGATTTCCTAATATCCAAAGCCAAAAGCGGTTAACAACGTATTTTGTTCACTACCAGTGAACTCCATGCTTGTCTGCGTTCCTTAATCATAAAAAAAGTCACCACTGAGCCTGGTTCAAACTGAATAAATGTATATGTACACCAACCAATATATCGCGTTTTAAACCGTTAATGTGTTTTATTTATTTATGTACATATATCAAACTGTCATTTGCAATAACACGTGAATATAATGTTGTTTTCAGCATTAAATTGCATTATATTCTTGTTTTCTTATACTGAAATGCCTGCGATGTTATAAGCACAATCATTTAGTTTATTCGTGAGAAAATCAAATGAAAGTTGTAATATTGATAAGTCAGCTTATAAGAACTAAGTAGAACGTTTGATAAGCAAAATAACTAACCATTAAACTTATGTTGTGGTTTGTAAATTAAAAGTGTAACTTTAAATAACCTAGTTTTCTCAAGATATGCCTAAAGTTAGTCGCAGCTACTGAAAGGCACCTGTTCAGTAGCTGCGGTTATGAAGGTGCATTCGAAATGGTAAAAAGTATTTTTCGTATTTGACGATCTCGTTGTAATTAATAACCAACGGATCGTGGGTGCGATCCCCACTGAGTCCAAGATGTTTCTAGTCTATTTATTATTTTCCTGAAACATGTTGAATTTCGTCTGGAAATCTGAATAATGGCTAACTTGTTTACCTTAATACAAAAGTGTTAAGTTTTAAATTACATTGCGCGAGCGGTGCATGTATCAATAGGTTGCAAAAGTTCGACGAAGGTGTAGGACTCGGTAGCTCAATTGGTTAGAGCAACAGCACGGAACACTGACGAAGCCGGTTCAAGTCGTTCCCGAGTCGAACATATTTACAATTTTCAATTTTTTGACACTTGTTGGTAGGCGAAATACCCCTGCACTACAAAACTAAAAAGATGTTCTATCGATTTATTTTGGCTTTGATTATTCAGAATCACACACGTATAATAATTCTTCTTTAATTTTAACACAATCGTCTTAGTTAAAAAAAGAAGTGCGCTCTCTTTGGGCAAGGCACTTGGCACACAAGGCTTCCCGTTTCTCTTATTATGCGTATAGCTGTTTAACAATTGCTGATAGCTTATAGCATGCGGGAAAACACGACGCGTGTACGTGCTATTTACACGACATACAAAAGAGTTCGGATAGAATTTAAGAACAACCCAACCACGTTTTCCAAGAATTTGTAATAGGTACGAGTACCTACATAATTTTTAAAACATGGCCAAACCGTCTTGTATAACTAGATAAACAATTTTATTTATGATGAACTGGTATTTTGACGAAATATTATTACTTTGAAAGAAGTTTCGTGAGTTAACCATAAAAGATAGACATACACATTTGAAGAATATTTTTTTTATATATTTTGGCGACCTTGAACCGTTTTTGCAGCGCAGGCAAAGACGGTTCAAGGTAGCCAAAAGTTTAATGCTTCCCTCCTTTTGTTGCCATTTTGATGTGTTACCCTAAGGCCTTCCTCGATAAATGCAACACAAAAACAATTTATTAATTCGAACCTGTAATCCCTTACATTAACGTTCAAAAAATAACTCTTCTGCTTTATACTATTAGAATAGATGATAATTAAATACGCCATTCGTTCTTTGAAAAAAACACACTTATTTCTTATAGATTAATGCACAGTATTTTCTTTTTTATGTATCGATAGAGCTATAGTAGAATTTTCATACTTAGCACGAATAATCTAACTCTATAGATAAAATACAATTGCAATATTAAAAAAAAAAACAAATGAATTCCTTATTTGAATATTGCTTTTATTTCTGATCTTATTTATTATTTATTGTTATTTTATCACACAACACACACACATAATTACAATGAACTAAAATAATAATATCTATAAGCTTTGGAGAAGATCTCTTCCAGTCAACCCTTATATCTCTTATGGTTCTTTATAGGTCGTTACTCTGGCGTTGTACACATACTTTGTCGCAGCACTAATGGGACGTCAGCTTGTACCACCAGCACCTGGGAGTACTTCAAAATACGAGCCCGACGTTTATTTTCCCTTATTTACAGCCTTACAGGTACTAGTAACAACAATATATCACTAAGGGATTTACATCCATGAGATGATAAAATCAAAAATTCTATAATTTTCAGGGATTCGAACCTAGAGCCTCTATTTTAAAGCAACACTATGCGGGTTAATAGGGTTTTAAATTTTGTGTTGTAAATTTTTAATATCAATAATAAGAAAATATGACCGAAATAGTGTCTTATAGTAATCATTTGTTTATTTTCAGTTCTGCTTTTATGTGGGGTGGTTAAAAGTAGCAGAAGTTCTTATAAATCCATTTGGCGAGGACGACGATGATATTGAATTGAACTGGTTGATAGACCGACATATTAAGGTATGCATTTTTTTTAATATGTCCTAGGACTCAGTCAAATAAGAATTGTGGGTACGTATTAACGCCACCGCCGCAAAAATTAGCAAATGCGAACAACTTAAACCTAATTTATTATCGACGGCAGCAACTTAAGCGCCCACCCACCTGTTCTTGTAACCGTTCTAACTTTACCTAACCGACGCATGTTGTATAAGCACAATCACGTTGAAAGATAGGCCATCTGTCATAAAAAATCATGACCAAGAAGAGAGGCTTTTGGTCAGAAAAGCTGAATAAAAGAATAATAAAAATTAAGAACTATCTTGAAAGTCTAAATAAGTTTAAAAATATTGATTGTCGTGGTGGCAGTAATACGTAATTACCGAATTATGAGCAAAGAGAGGCAAAACTTTTATTGGGTTTATTACCCGGCAATGCTTAACAATTATACAAAAATACTAAAACCGACTTGCGATTTGAACACACTGTTCAGAAGTGCAGGAGAAACTTTGTTATTTTTCTTTTTTTTAACATATCGTCCTTACATATAATACCCAATATTGCCTGTAAATAACACAATAGTACATATGTAATAAATCATATTTAACGGTTTAAAACGCGATTTGACTTTAACGCTAAGAACGCTTAACGTTGTGACCACGGTTTCTATTTATGGTGGTTCGTAGTTAAAAACGAATTTTCTTTGATACATTTAGCTTTTTAAACCTTCAAAAACTCGTGTTTAATATAGTACTTCAGAAGAACAGTATAAGAACAGTATAACACTGTTCTTTTAATCTGAAATAAAATATATTCCCACGAGAAAATGTGAAAACTATTGTCACATAAATACCTATCGTATTTCACAATAAGCATTGTAGTTAAGTGATCGGTCTTATAAACTAGTACTTTAATGAAATGACGTAAAAAATCAAGGTTTTGTAAAGTCATCAAATTTACTTCGTGTAGATTACACTAGTCTATAGAGGTATTAAATTCTATCTTAGTTTGCGCGAAAAAAATCGAAATTTACTTTAATTTCTCTTAACAAAGAACAATAGATTATAAATTGAATAGATTTACGACTCGGACAGGACTTGAACCAGCATCGACAGCGTTCCGTGCTGATGCTCTAACCAATTGAGCTACCGGGTCCTACAAGTCATCATAACCTTACCCAACGAATCAATGTCTTATGCTTTGCAGCTTAAGAAAATCATTGAAGATAAAATTACAAAGATAACGCTCGTAAAGTTTCATATTTTTTCACATATCGCATGGTGGCACTATGTGAATTAAACATGGACTATTAATTTAAAAAAAATACGATTCGGGCAAATTTAAAAGTACAATAGTTTTTCTTGATTCGGTTTTTTTGTTATTACTTTCGTCTACTATATAATAATTAAAATAAAGCCCCAATATTGTCTTAAGTTAATCTCTTGGATACCGTAAGTAATTCGTCCAATGCTTAAATTAATTCGTCATAATTCTTACCCCCAACGCGAAAATAACGCTGGCTGTGTGTCTGCTGTATGATTTTTAAGATTTCATAGACTAATGTTACAGACTGTTTATTATTTATTTCATTTTGACAGAATTTATTTATTGAGGAAACTAAACAGAGCTGCCGCTTATGATAAGTAGAACGAATATACCAATTTTGTATAGACTAGCAATTCAATAGTATGCACAGAAATATAACATAATCTAAATGTTTATACGCAGAGACATCTCCATAACAAGTTGCAATAAAAACATTGTTAGATATAAATTAAATAATGCTTGAAGGTGAGAAACAACAAAACAGTTTTTTTATCACAAATCTGCGATATATATTAGTTTTGTTAAAGTTAAGAACACCTCTAAGTTACATTTAAATGTTAATCGCGAAACGACAATAAATCAATATAATTTAACCTGCCATTATAAAATGAAACCATTTTGTGGAGGGGGGTTCTTTTACCGATGTTATTTTAGTCTTTCGGTATAAAACCATTTATTAAATATTTAGCTACTGCAGTTTAGTACAGTCACTGTTTAAAAGTTTTTAAAACTTCCCGCCAAAACGATGCCTAGATATACAACATAATTGATAAACGCAAGAAAAAGTATAATCCCCTTTCCCCCCCAACACATTTCTTTACCCGTTCACTGATCGGTTCTTTCATAGGCAAGTTGTTGATTAGACTTGCTTGCCATCCGAAACAATCCATTATTAAAATGAAACACTTTAACGGTTTAAAACGCGATAAATATTAGTTAAACTTGTTTTATCTGCGGCCCGACGTTTCGGATGCGTTGCAGCAGCCGTGGTCACGGGGAGACATACATATCGCGTCTTAAATCTTTGAAGTGTTTTGTTTAAATGTTTACTACTCGCGTAAACTAAAGACAGTATTCAATATATTGTTACTCCGGGATTCGAATCCAGGACATCTCGTCTTTAACGCTATGCTAAGCCACACGTTTAATTACTTGTTATAGTTACTATTTCTATCATTGTATAATTGGATGATATATATTTGATGTTAAAAAAAGTGGTTTTGAATCATTTTTAATTTTAAAAATTTGACTAGATTTAGATTGAAAACTAGTACTTAGTTTAATAAATACGTACGCTTCCTACTTTGAAATGTAATTGACTTGCAAGTATACAGTGTCTTCTTTGTAATTAAATACTACTTGGCAGTAAATAATCATTATTATTGAGATTAGATCTCTACTTAGTATTGTGTGGTGATATTATCGTAGGATCGCGTTAGGTAATCTATACTAATATATAAAACTGAAAAGTTTGTTTGTTTGTCTGAACGCCCTAACCTCAGGGACTACGGGTTTGATAAGAAAACATCTTTTTGTGTTGGTTAGAACATTTATTGAGGAAAGCTATAGGCTATAAGATATTGCTGTGACTAATAAAATCGAAGATACAGAGGGAAATGTGAACAAAACGGGGGAAATTTTTCATCTCTGTGCGTTTCTGCTAAACGGTTACGCTGCGAAAACGGTGCAAGGCACCTAAAAAATATGTATAGAGGAATGATTGAACGTGGTGACGTGGGCAGCTTAAATTTGTAAAGATGTAGAGATCTGCAAGAACACATTTGGGTGCCCAAAACAACGCGGACGGAGTCGCTAACTCGGCAGTCATAGATAATTAAGAACTATATTGTTTATTTGATTAGGTATACGTATATATAATAACGAATTGCTCTATTGATTAATTATATAATTTAGGAAATGTGAAGCGTGTGTGTAAATGTTATGTGTGAAACGAATTGATGTAACATTTATTTTGAAATAGTCGACTATTTACGCAAAGTTTAAGATTCTGTTATGTCAGCCGCGCATCAAGGTTTCCGTACTATTTAGTAGGTACGCAAACTTCATATAATAATATTTTAATAGGTATTTTTCGTGTCTTGACCTTTTATTTATATTAAGTAAAAATGAAAGGCAATTTTTGTATGAAAGTACCCTAGAGTATTATTAGTACAGTAAAAATATAACTAACTACACACTTACGGGGTAATTGAAGTATTCACAAAAATACTCAAGTACTGCCCGTACCTGCTGCAAAGCATCCGAAACGACGTATTTAAAAAAAATGTTAAAAAGTTCAACTTTTCGCGTTATAAATTGTTAAAAAACGTTTATTTAAGTACACACGTACAACAAGCGAAGCTTAACTAAGAAGTTACCTAATTTAGACGACAGTTACACAATTGTCGTGTAAATTAGGTAACTTCTTAGCATACAGACAGACAGCAAAATCTCAGAAATAGGGTTCCGTTTGCACTAATTACTAAACATGATTTAATTCCAACTAAACCACAGAGGGATCTTGTTAAAACATCCTTAAAATGGTTTTATCATACGGTTTCAGGCGGCGTATATGATTGTGGACGAAATGCACGAAGAACATCCGGAACTCTTGAAGGATCAATATTGGGAGGAAGTGGTACCTAAGGATCTACCATATACCGTAGCCTCTGAACACTATAGACGCCATGAGCCACCGTGTTCCGCTGATCACTATAAGGTGAAAGCCGAAGACTCCTTGTATGCGAACGTCCAGTCACCGAGAAAGAGCAACGATGAGACCTACGCCGATTATGTAAGCTTGAAAACTTTAATATTTATAACGTTTGAAAACTTTATTATTTTTTACATGTCATTGCACATGAAGGCACTATATAATTTGAAAATCGAAAATAAATTGAAAAAAATTTCGCAACGAAAAGGGCAACAGCACGGGACGCTGACGATGCCGGTTCAAGTCCTGCCGAGTCGACAACTTTTTCAATTTATTTTCGATTTTTAAATTATATAGTGCCTTCATGTGCAATGACATGTAAAAAACTTTAATATTCTTCACATGTTATTGCAGCTGGTGGCACTATATATTATACACTATCTGTACTAATATATAAATCTGAAAAATGTATATATTAAAAAACTGCAACTGCAAGAACTACGGGACGCGGACAACGTTCTGGGTAACAACTTAAATAACTATTCCACGCGAACGAAGTCGCTGACATAGCTAGTACACTGTAAAATTAAAATCGATTATAAATTGAAATAATTTATAATGTCGCGTTTTAAACGGTAAAAAGTGTTTTATTTAACTGTGTACCGCTCGCGTAAACTACAGACAATATTTTATTCTTTCTTTATCCTGTATAGGAAAGCGTCGACACGCCATTAGTAGAGAGAAGGAAGAACTGGTTTCAACGGCAGATATCGAGGGTGGACTCCGTGCGGTCAGCATCTACGGCTTATTCATCTGGTGGTTGGTTCGGTCGGAACCGTCACAACTCCGTGGTGTATTCCAGCCCGGAAGCTGGTCAAACCACAGCGCCTCCTACGCCACACCACAAGATGTCGCTATACGAGCGTCTTGTTGGGCGGAAATCTGGCAGAGGTCAACACAGACAAAATTCCAAACATGGTAAGTGTAAAAAGCTCTTGACAGGAAGGAATATGACTTATCCTATCTTTATTTAGCGCATAAGATAAACAAACAAACGAAAACTTAGGAAAACAATTATTGACCCTACAAACATTGTTTAGGCATTTAAATTATTTCTATGGAATTTCTAGCGCATCTCTTCTCATCAGGGTCTCATCAATGGGGGATAAGATAACTGATATATTTCGCATTTCAAACCGTTCAATATTTATTACATAAACAACTATTGTAGCTATTTATAGACGCAAGAGACGCGGTAAACTAGACGGTTAAAGAGCGAAGTTGCTGTACTTGTCGAGCAGCGGCCAGCAATATACCAAATAAATTGCTATGAAAAATCATACTTGTTAGTAATTTAAAAATTAAACGTTCATCTACTTAGCAGCATGGAAGTAACATATGAAAGGTTTAATTTAAATTTCGAACTGGCTTGCACATACTCGAAGAAAGATGAATAATTTTCCCCGTTTTTCCACATTTCCTTGGTCATATTCGTTGCAGCCTATTATTTTATAGCCTTCTTCGGTAAAAAAGAGTCCAAGCAACATTTTTTTTATTTGAATCAGTAGCTCCTGAGATTAACGCGTCCAAGCAAACTCTATAGCTTTACAATATAAGTATAGATTAAACACAAATTCAATAAGATAATGAAAATGATTAAAATCTATAAATTGCGTGGAATCTTTTGCCTTCTTAAGCTTTATGTATTATTTATTAGGTGTTATATAAATACTTGGATTATACGATTTATATTTTATTTATTAATATGTTTACCAGTAAATTATAACGCGTGGTTTCTCGTCTACTGTCTATATTATATAGTTATACGATTTTGGGAGAATTACGTACACATTTAAATAAAATAATTTTAACGGTCGGGCCGTCAATAATATAAATTGTAAATGAGTTAACTAATACATTTCGCTTTTTAAACCCTTAAAAGTGTTTTATTTAAATATTACAAATTATTTTAGAACTGCATATCATTGTTTTTCGGCCGACGTATAATTCTTCGAGCAATCGAGGGGTTAACTACATCTCCTGATGATGCCGTCGATGCTCGTGATAGCGACACGTCGAGAACCTCTTCTCTACGAACAGCTCGAAAAACAATGCTATATTGTACGATGGCCGTGAAAGCCTTACACATTTTATTTTAGAACTTTTTGAGAATAGATCTATATTAGGTATTTTATTATACGATAACATTTTCAGGGCAACGTAGCAACGGCACTGCTATACCGATTACATTAAGGAACAGGCCCCGTATTCCAACCCCTGATGTGACCAAAGAAGTGATGGACAGGGAGAACCAGATAGCCATTGGCATGCAAAACATGGGCGTCATTATGGCGCATCAGGTAACGGACTAATGGATACAGACTAATATTAGCCAACTTGGACTCTCCAAGGGTTGTTTACCCATTGTTAAAACCATGGGTTGTGGATTCGATTTCTACCGTCGGTTCTAAATAGAATGTAAAATGAAAGGCTCGTTGGTCTAATGGTAGCAATGTATGGCTAATGGTCAACGGATCGCGGGTTCCATCCCCACCAAGTCCATCATGCTTGGCTTCGTCTCGATAGCTGGATATTAAAAGGGTGATAGGAATATAGAAATTACGTCCGGGTCACGAATCACCTTCCACAGATGAAGAAACCGTGAAGCTTAATCGCGTTTCGGTTTTAGTCTGTGGTAATACAAAGCCAAAATGAAAAAGGTCGACAACGCGTTTTGGTTAGATGCTATAGGCCAGGGTGTATCACCTACCATCAAGTGAGCCCCGTACCATGGCTGTCCTCTGCTATCATACAAAAATGTTTTTGAAAAATTCTTTTTTTTTTTAAGTGTTGGCACTATATAAATTAAAAATCGATTATAGATTGAAAAAAAATTACGACGCGGCAGGAATTGTAGCGGTATCCACAGCGTTCTGGTGCTTTAACCAATTGAGCTACCGTGTCGTACACGTCATCGTCGAATTTGTTCAACCTATTGATATATGCACCTCTCGTGCAATGAAAATGTGATTTTTTAATTTATATAATGACATAGTGTGTAACATAATATGGAAAGTGTTTCTTTTTTCTTGTTTTATTAACTTAGACATTAAAGATGTTTTAATTATCTTTCTTCTTTATCAGGGTTATCAGAATGAGGTGCCAGTGCTGGGTGCGCTTGTTTTATCCCCGATACAAGAGCTAGACAGTGGGTCGGTAAATAATACCTTGCATGCCGGCCAACCGGGCACAACTGCTCTTGCGCAGTCCGTATTTTCGCCTAATCTCACTCAAGGTAATTATGATAATTTAGATAGATACTTTTGACCGCCTCTAAAGGCAAATGTTTCAACGTACTGCCTAGCGTTGCATTAAGCGCGAGAGGTCCTGTGTTCGAATCCCAAGGAAACGAAAAATTGTTTAGGTCAGGCAGGTCACAGAAGTCTGATCAACTTCTTGCCTGTAAAATAACAGATCAGTGAAACAGACACATAAATGTGTTCGCCCCATACCCCATGAGAGGAAAACGGGATTTCACACAAATAGATACTTTTAGAGATTATGAGAACTTGAATTGAGACACTTTACTTCCAACATCAATCGCTGAGGTCAGCGGACAAGACACAAGACTAAATCCTATTTTTAGAGCTTCTAAGCTTTTCAATATTTAGGCCATAATGCATTTTAAATTGTATTTATACACTAGCCGTTGCCCACGTCGTCGTCCGCGTCTCGTCGAACTGTCTCGTACACTTTTTTAAATCATTTAAAGAAATGAGAGAGATACTAGATATGAGAGAGACCTAAAGTAAAAAGTGGTCGATCCAAAACAAAAATTATTTTTCAATTCGAACCAGTAGTTCCTGAGGTTAGGAAAATAGATCTTAAATAGACAAACAAAAAAACAAAAGTTTATGCTAATTAAGGATTGGACTCCCGACCTCATAGAAAATATAAGTCTAATATATTTTTGTTCTTTTACAGGCTTGTCCCCAATGCTAGGAGCAACTCCAGTCGTGTCGTCTGTGACGCTAACGCCCATGGGCGTCACTCAACTGAGCACGATAGTAATGTCTTCTGCACCATCGACGCCGCAAATCGACCGCATGACCACGCCGCAAGCGACAAAAGCTACAGTTGTCGAACTACCCTCCGATCGTGATAGTGAACATAGCAATGGAACACAGACACCTAACTCGAAGCGTGGCGAAGTTTACGTTTAAATGAGCCCAAGTCAGTCAGTAAGTAATATGGGCAGTGAGAAACATCATATTTTTTTCATTCTGACAATAAAAGATATCATGTATTTATTTTAACATGTTCCACTAAAACGATATAAGACTGTTATTGAAGTATCGAATGAACAATGAATTGCATATTGATGTTCATTTTTGGCCTGGCACACTATGAAGAATGGGCATTTTAATTGAGCCATCCATGGAGGCGCTGGTTTTTTGTCTTCCATATAAATACTATTAAGAGACTATTAAACGAACTGTTAACAATTATTAAAATGTTAAGTAAAATTGAACTTATAAGAAAATTATAAGTTCCGTTAGATTGTAAACGATCTCGGTTGTGGACATATTAAAATTAATAACCAAACTTGGTTAATTGAGCCGTAATTCTGTGTTGTTATTCATCAGTGAGCGGAATGTTTACAATATAACCGAACTTGCAATAGTCAACAAAATAAAGGTACTATAACGAATAGCTTCTAGCTTCTAAAAGTAATTGTTAGCATCTTGAGTTCAAATACTTTAAACCCGTTTATTAATACTAAAATATCCGCGTAATCCGTCGGATTGTCATCACTAATAATTGAGGCGGCAAGAGGCAGAGTGGCCTAATAGTAAAAAACGTGATTTTCAATAAGGAGGAAAATAAAAACGCACAATTAACTTAGGTATAAATGAATTTGTACTATTATTTGTGTAAAAATTATGTTATGTTCAGTCACTGTGCTCTTGTAGATTAGCATTTTTAGACTATGAAATTATAAATGACTCAAGTCATAAAATTGCAGTTAGGCTACTCTGTCTCTAACCCCATTTCTCTTATGTATTTTATCCTAATTCATTCTGCTTGAGAGAAAAGATCTCAGAATTAAGTTGAACTTATAATGTTTAACTATGACAATAAAGATTATACTTATAGTGGAATTATGTTTATTAAGTTAATTTTTGCCGGCAAGGCGCTATATGTGTCACTTCCTTAAGTGCACAAATTGTCTAATGATTGTAAATAGGATTTATATTTTTTTATTTAACTATTGGCATGCTCATACAATTTTATATAAGACATTGTAGGTTTGTCAAAGATATATTTCTCGATTTAGTACTTATTATCATTCCCTTTCATGTGTAAGTAATTAGTTCCTAATGTGGTTCGCTAATGCGTGCCTACCTATAAACCGTCCAGGTAAAGTGCGGTGCTGAGTGTATTGAATCTCGATTTATGAATTTCCCGAAGTTCAAATTGTTACGTCATTAATAATAATTGTATGTTTATTTCGATTTTACGCACAAACAGGGATTGAATTGCATATTTCTATAAACGTATTTTAATATAAGCGAGTGTTTTTTTATTTGGACCCGACTTAAAATAGATAAAATGAAATCAATGCAGACGCCTATGTAGTGTGAAAAATGATTGCACATAAAGATGTGTTAGAACCTTTTCATTATTGGACATTGTAGCTCAATTAGTAGAACCAGTTACGCGGTGGTCGTGGATTCGATTTTCGAACAGGTCATAACTTTTTAAAATCTATTTGGATGTTCATGAAAATAAGAATAAACAATGCTATAACTATATCAACAATAGCTAGCTGTAGGCTTTGTTTGTCCATCCAGAAGATACATGAAACGAAATTACTAAGGGATAATCTAGTTGGCTTAATCCGTCAATATGGATCAGTCAAATCCCAAATTTACAAGAGGAGAGAAATGTATTTTCTCCCACTTGGTCCTTGTGTTTGTATCAACCCTTATTTTAGTAATAATTTTCATAATCCACTTGTATGTTGTACAACATACAGAGAAAACTACAATAAAAACACGAAGAACGGGTACTGGTGAGTAAAGGAACCTTTAGATGTTAACACCTTACCTATTCAAACACTAGTTGTGCCGTCGACTTCACCCGCGGAGAATAGTTATTTGTTTTTGCAAACCTTCTCATTTTTATAAAATCTAGCTGACCCACGACGTCGGTCAAGTCCCGTCGTTCTTGCAAGTTTTTAGATTTGTATCATTCATACATAATTTTTGGTATCTTGAACCGTTGTCGCAGCTCACCCGAGATGCCCTAAAAATTTGGCTAGCTTTCCCTATTTTCTCGACATCTCCTACTGTTAGTTCATTTTTATTGGACGCTGAGTGATTTTGTAGCATACAGCCTTCCTCGTTAAAAGCTTTAAACAACACAAAAAAATCAATTCAAGCCAAGTAGTTCCTAAAGTTAGCGCTTTCAAACAAACTCCTTGAGGTTTTGGTATTGGTATAGATTTATAAGAAGATACGAAATATAAAAGTGGGCTCTTCTTTCAACTGTTGCAAAGATTAACACAGTGGTAATTTCAGGCTTCTAGAGCCAGAGTGACCTAACTGCACTTTTACCACTTTCGATTTATTCGCATTTTAATAATTTAAAATGTTAATTTATGAGACCACAGTGACCTAAATTGTTAACATATTTTTTACACATATGGCAGCACAACTTCATTTCGGCCTCAGACTAAATTGACAAAAGCCATCACAGTGGCTCTATATAGTGGCCTATTCAGTTATGCCACACTGGCTCTAACAGCCTCATATATATTTTAATATTACAGATTTGACAAAAAGAGACTACTCTTATGTTGGAGAAGTATACTTAAATATAACTCCAAGAGTGACAATATGTAACTCTCTTCTACTCGGGCCAAAATGGTCTCTCAGTCCAGCTAACTGTGTTGTCATACGTACTAATCCGGATATCGCATTTGCGTTATATAGTTGGACAATCAACTATAGTAATCAATGTAAGCTTTTTGTGTATTTAACTATACTATAATAAGTGGGTAGTTTAGAGGTAAACTAGCATACAGAAAAAAATATGTGCTAACGAGATTCATACCCTCGAACCGTCTTGCTTAGCCTTATTCAAGCTAGTACTATGAATGAAGATTCAACTAGGTGTACAAAAATCTTACTGTTAAACGAAAACAATTGTTATTTTTGGTACTAAGTTTGCTTTGGCTGTTTAGTTTTCTGGTTTAATACGTTTGCAACCGTAATTTTTTCGCATCAACGGATTCTTTGTACGGCTAATAATCGACGGGTCTTTTTGTAATAAATTGATAATACTTATGACACTTATTTGAGGTCGTCTGGTAATCTGAATACTAAATGTGTGGTAGGAGCATCGAAATTCGAACAGGGTCACAAACCACTGTCCACAGGTAAAGGGGCTGTAAAGTTTAATCGTTTCGGTATCTGTCGATTTACGAATACTTAAAGCCAAAATAGTTCGACAGACAAGCTTAGTCGGCAAACGTTCGATGCCATATAAAGTATTTCTTGTGAGGTAATCTTAAAAGATAGACATACTTTGGCAGACACTTTTTTTTTAATTATTAAAAGAATAGTTCGGTATCTTAAACTAAAAATATGCGTTATTTTCTCCGTATTTTCCACATTTCCTCTTTAGGCTCAAGCCTTTCTTGATTAATGGTCTACAACACAAAAATTTCAATTCGAACCAGTCTAAAATTAGCGGGTTGAAACAAATATGCAATCAAACATATTGTATGGTTTATAATTTCAGTATACTAAGTTACGCATCGGGATCGCCTTGCCTAATCCCAATGCGTGCCTTGTGTTCTACTGTGATTATAGAAGTTGTGTTTCTTTTAAGACTCAGTGAAAATAAAGAAATCCATTCCGCACCCACTGTTTGATAAGGACACCTTCAGTAACAACGTTGGATTATTTAAACACGCGAATCCAATTTCATTACAACCCCATTTTCGTAAGTACAAAACTATAGGATAGAAATACCCTCAATCTTTAATTTGTATCTATAGAGTAGCTGTGCTCGCGGCTTCGTCCATATTGAAAAGTTATTTCGATCAATTTTGGAAATAGTTGTAATTTGTTTTTGAAAACCTTATATTAATTTCAAAAGATAAATATCGACTGTCGCGGATATCTTTTTAAAGAGAGATCAGTCTTTAATAACATCAATTATTGATATTTTTGCATCATGTACCGTTTTCACTAGTTTCACAAAGATATACATATTTTTTTCAATTTCCCCATTTTTTCCACAACCTCCTGTGTGATTCTATTGGTTACAACCTGATGTTCCATTGCCTAAAGGCTTCATCGTTGTTCCAATCAATACAAAATTAATCATTAAATTCGAATCAGTAGTTCCTAAGATTAGCGAGTTTAAACAAACAAACAAACGCTTCAGCTTCGAAATATTAGTATGTATTAAATTGTTGCAATATTTAGACGTAATAATATTGTCTACATCCGCTCGTCTGAGCGATGTTTATTTATAATACAGGCACAGTGTGAGAGATTCTTGCGCACAAAGGGTTCTGTATACCTACGGAATCTTCAGAAAGTATCCCTCTTGTCTTTTTTTATTGCTACCAGCAAAATAATTATCATCATCTATGAAAATGTCATACGTCAAATTAACGCTGTATGAGCATTTAATTTATACAACAGCACCAGGATTTTTTTACTTACGTAACCCTAAAAATGTCATCTCACTGTGCTTACTTATCCAAGTCTTCCTAGAAATTTGAGCCACGCCCATTGCAGTAGCGAATCATGAAGTAGTTAGACCCTTACACACTTTGAAAAACAGTAATTCTACTTTCTTTAGTTGTGCTCGTATCGCTGGCATGAATAGCCACAAGTCGTTTCATCCACCTTTGCCTGTAATCAAACTTTATTAGAACTGGTTAAAGCTTAGTTATTTTAATTTTTAGCGGCATCTAAATTACCTAATGTTGCTTTGAAGACCAAGGATAGCAAGTTGGCAATTGTGACTAAGAAAAATCGAGGTAACTTTTTTTTAATGATAGAGAAGGACAGACTAGCATGATGTTCACTTGATGGTGGGTAAAATACCACAGCCTATAGCATCTAAACAAGATGCGCCGTCGACCTATGAATAAACTGAGACCGAGACGTGATTATACTTCACGACATTTTCATCTGTGGACGGCTGTGTCACGAACGGAATTTCGATGTTCCCATCGCCCATTTAATATCCAGTTTTCGGTTTTAAAAATATTATAAATCGAAAAATAAGAAGCGCGCTGGACCCAATGAGGATCGAATCCACGACCGATGATTACTAGCCGTACATTGATACCATCACACCAACGAGACTGTCACGTTTATTTAATTCAATTTTTCGTCTAGGAGTAAAAGACGATATGATTACATAGAACCGTATTTTATACCAATTCCTTGCGAATTTTTATCAATTTAATAATTAAAATAATTTTCGTAGTCACTAAAGAAACTCTAAGTTCTTTTAAAGCATTTTTCTAATTATCAAGGGAATGTTCACGCTCACCGCGCCTCGTTTCTGAATATAGAGAAATGTATACAAGACATATCGTTTATAGTGGATTTACGAAGCTATGAGTTCTGTATCGCACCTGTGGATAGAAATACGTCGCTCGGTAATAAAATATTTATGTTTGCGGTCGATTCTAACGCTAGCTAGTATGGTATAAAGTGTTCTTACCATCTAATTTCGACCTTCAAGTCAATGTTTTGGCAGCTTTACTTCTCATACTTTTACCTGCTACAATGTTGGTTGAAGGGCGTTACTGATGATAACCGAGACGTAGAGCCCAACATCCTTTCTTAGACATAGAGGAGACGATATTTCCTACTATATATATTTTTCTCGCAAGCGTAGTCGAACTTTACTCGTATTTAATGCGGGACTCTAAAAATAGGTCTTACGCGATTTCAAAATCCCAATAAATATAGAAATGGTAAATACCCTATCAATTGGTCAAGAACTAATAGGACACAAGACTAAGAAATTTACGACATTTCGAAACAAAGACTTACTTTTAAAGTCCATCTTGAACCAGTTACTTTTTGAGGTCACCCTCCCAACGCTTTCGTGTTGGATTCTTTATTTCCCTCTAGGATCTTATTCACCAATCATTTTGGTCCATTTCCTTCTTCCATCTCTTGAAATAGGGCTGGCCCAGCGCCATTTTAAAATTTGCATTTTCTTTTTACATATTTAAATTTTATGTATGGTTTCTTTGTCTTTTAAGCTCACCTTGTCTTACTTCTTTACTCCTGCTATAAATCTGTCCACACTGTGGCACACTTCTATTTTTTCCATTAGTTGTTCTCGCCCATGTTTGACAGTAATCAGTTGGTAAATAATATGTTTTGTACTTACAGAATACGGATCTTTAGTTTTACTAGATGAGGATGTCATTGGCATATACTCTTGGGGGGAGCGGAGAATGTACAACATTCCATTTGTTGTATTGAACATAAGCCATTTTTACAATTGGTTTAATGGCATAGTTTTGAAAAGATAAAGACTTTCGGTAAAGAACACATTTTGTCGTCATATTTTTTTTGTAACTCGCGTTTGAAAAATTAGGTACATTACGTACGTTATTTACCGCCTACTTTAACAAGTAAAAATTATTTCTAACGCCAAACGAAATTTTGGTTGCAATTATATTTTGTCAGAGATACAATAATATTTAAAGAATCTACAAAGGGCTATTGTAATCATTAAAGATAAATATTCATGGTTAAATTTGAGTTTTTTTTAATGTAAGTGATTGACAAAGCAGATTTTACTGAGACAACCGAAGAGAACATCCAATTATTTATATCGCGTTTATTTTTATACACTTTTGTTACATTTAAGTGTTTCTTATACCAGAAATAGAAACTTTAGTCAAAAAATGTAGTATCTAATTATTAGACTTGATGACTATTGGTGACCCGCGGTTTCGGTCTTTTACAACCAGACCGGACCGGAAGGAATATCATCAATAACCGATTTCGAATTCAAATTTCAGCACAATTTGTACGCACGCGCTGATTTAACGATTATCTATTGTTTTGGTCATTTTAATACCTGTTCATAATTACCATATATATTTTGGACTATCAAACCATTAGAAATCGACAAATTGTTCCTATCGCTGTAAGTAACATAACCTTCTTATTCATGGTTAAACATAGCCTCCCTGTCTCATGTAATAATAATAACTAGGCGTCATTTTTTAAATTATGCTTTAAAGAAATATTTCTTACTGAAGTAAAGAAAAATAACCTATATTATTATAAATCTAACCAATTACAAATTGCACGAATCTTTTTAAAATTTCCCGCCAAACACTTAACTACTTGTCAATTGTCATAGACAACACGAGATGTCTAAAGTGCCTGTCTAATTTGAATAAAACTGTTGTCTTGCCATATGCAAAAATACAACACTGTATCACATCAACTGTATCAACTATTATTGATTTAATTTTTAAATATGTTAAATTTACTCGTAAATCTAATTAGATAGATGTTATGCCAAAAATCATTTTCAATAGGCATTTTTGTCATTATTAAATTATATTTATTGGTTTATTTTTACCTATGAAAACAATTATTCGTAATGGCCACATTTAAATATGATTTTGAACTGAAATTTACAAAAGAGAAAAAATAAACTCAAGATTGGTCTTCGTTATTAGTTTCAAACAAGTACAAAATTTTTAAAATTTGTTTTATCCATACATTCATAGCCTCCCAAATAAGAGAAGAAAATTTTTAATATAAATTAATTGTTACAATATTATATTGTTTTGTATGGTTAAGTCAAAAGTACAACTATGTTGACATTCAATATGGCGGTATGTCGTCAGTGCTGTGCTGTATCGTGGTGAGATTAATTAATTTCCTGGATTTTGTTTGTATACTTTTGTACGTTTCATGTTAATTTTGTTTAATACTTATAGCTTTATAGTTGTAATATGTATTTTGCTGTTCTTTTTTCGAATAAGATCCGTTTATCATAGCGTTAGCGGCATTACAATTCTAGCTTATAAATGGATGGTTCGGTTTCTCGGGCAGTCGATACGTATTTAACGTATTGAAGAATATATTTTATCACAACTTTCAACTCTACGATTTGTCTAGTTTGAAGCTTTATATCGAAGTGTGTAAAATATAATTCCCATTTAAAATCGTATTTATGGTTTGTGATGGCGGTTTCACACGGTTCGATTATAGGTACCTACCTAATAGTTTTACATTAATTTGTTGGTGGATGTAATAGCTCGGTAAAGCATATTTTAGGCTTTCTTTCTTACCGGTTGCTTCCTATTAATTACTACATCGTTTACGTAGACATTTCCGATTATCCTACAGATCAATACAAATCCGGAACTATGTACAATCCGCACGCGTTTATTAGGTATTATACTCGAATTCAAGTGGCAAATGATTTTGTAACCAACTATATAACTAAGGCTTTTTATAAAAAAAAACGCATTGCATATACCTAATTTTATGTATATTTCTTTGCAGTTCAACAATAGACACTAAGTAATTTTGCTGTAAATATATTTTAAAAATTAGTAATCAAAACACAACACGACAGCGAATTACAAAATTAAAGAAGAGATCCAGAGGAGAACTCCGATTCAGCAAGCATTGAAGACATCTGAGGACCTAGAGTAGAATATTCCCGAGTAGTTATTGTTTTCATAAAGTGTTTTGGTGCATAAAACTTGTGATCATTGTTCTGAAGACTCGGTGTTCTAGCGAACACAAGACTTAAAAATGTGATTTTGATTTACAAATTTGTTAGCACTATTAAAACGTAACACCATACTATTTTCTGTGATATATTGGTTCATAACTGAGATTTGGATTTATATATATTATACATATTGATATAATCTACGAGAGCAAGAAAATGTCCAGCAATCCTCAGTGGAAATTGTTCCAGCCGCCAGATTCACATGTATCCCCCTTGCAAGATATTTTGGACCTCCAGCATTCTAGTATGCAATCGAAACAGGTCTATCGCAATGGTAAGCGAACTTGAATTTGATACCATGTAACATTTAACTACTTTATTGGTCTCTTGTTTAGATAAATCTGTTTATTTGTTGTAGGCACATATAGTAGTGAGTATCCTAGCTCACCAAGAGGTAATTTTCAAAATATGAACAAACCAGGTGGAGGAAATAGATTTACTATGGGCAATTACAATTTAGACGTTTGTCCAATGGGTGACTCCGTCGGTGTATTCTCATCTAGCTCCACAAATAACCCAACTCAATATGATTCAGTGAACCACCCGCCAATTAGAGAAACTGGCATCATTGAGAAATTACTTGTAAGTTTATAGAATGTAATAGCTCGCTAAAAAGATTTTATTGTTTTGCATTACCTTTATGAATACTTCTTATTGTTTTTAAACTTGCTATTCTCCAATAGTAAGTTGAACTCCTTTCTATAAGGACAAATAATTCTTGTATGATTAACACCTTAATCCTATAAGGTGAGACCAATGAGATAATTTATTTCAGCATTCCTATGGCTTTATACAATGTTGTGAGAGACAGGCCCGTTTGTTCTTTCACTTCAGCCAATTCAGTGGCAACATTGATCATTTGAAGATTGGTGATCCAGTGGAATTTGAGATGACATATGATAGACGAACTGGAAAACCAATAGCCTCAACTGTTACAAAGATTGCCCCTGAGGTGGTGTTAAGCGAGGCGCGTGTTACTGGTATAGTGACAACAGAAGTGAAGGGAGAGGGCTCAGGTGATAACACTGGTAGAATATCCTATGAGAATCGTGGTGAATGTTTTTTCTTGCCGTACACAAAGGATGATGTTGAAGGAAATGTCACATTGAGAAGTGGTGACGCTGTTAGCTTTCAGATTGCAACTAACCAAAGGTAAATATTCCTTTTTAGGTTGTTCGTATCCTGAAGTTCGTATACTTCTACATTTAATGTTTATATTACCATGCAATGTTGTTTCAGAGGCACACTTGGTGCTTGTCATGTTCGTTTTGAAAACCCTGTGCATCCTGTTAAGTACCATGGGGTTGTGTGTTCCAAAAAAGAGAATTTCGGATTCATCGAGCGCGCCGATGTCGTTAAAGAAATATTTTTCCATTACTCAGAAGCAAAATTGAAGGAGGAATTGTCTCTTGGGGATGACGTTGAATTTATTATTCAAACAAGAAATGTATGTCTCGGTTTAACTTTCATCAAAGTACCTTTATGTATGTGAATAACTAACTCAAAATTTCAGGGAAAAGAAGTTGCATGCAATATAACAAAACTGCCAAGTGGTTCAGTCGTGTTTGAAGACATTAACCCAGAGATCATGCGGGGCCAAGTTCTGAAGCCTCTAGAACGTGGTAACATGATGCGTGTACCACAAAACGATCCTCTACCCGGGAGGATAAAGTATCGCGCAGCAGATCATTCAGAAGTTGAGGTATTTATTTATTATTAAAATACAATTTTTACATATATTGTGGTATGCATTACTAAAAAAAAGTAGTGAAGAATCGGAATATTTTATTTTAATATTAAATAGATTTTGATTAACTCTATACATAGGTGCCTTTCGGTGACAAAGATCAGTGTGGAGAGTTCACACTTCGCCATGGCGATTGGGTCCAATTTCAAGTAGCTACTGACCGACGGGACCAGTTGAAACGCGCAACCAATATCTCTCTTCTGGACGAGTCTTTTAATGTCTCTGGTGAAAGGTATTGTAACTTATCACTAATTTAAATCAGAATTTTTATAATTCCGATCATATTTATTTCGCATTATTAAAATAAAATATATAATAATTAGCCGTGTCAGCGACGACTTCCTTCGTCCGCGAGAATCGTTATTTTGGCATCTAAAACCTTTATAAACTTAAGGTATTGACCCATGACGTCGGTCGCGTCCCTTCCTTCTTCAAGTTAATCTTAAAAGATAGACATATAGCGTAGCGGACATACTTTTTTAGATCATTTAAAGGAGAATCATCGTTTTTGCAGCGTACGCCTCGGAAACCCATAATGATGAATAATTTTTTTGCACATTTCTCGATGAATCTTCGCTTGTAGTCACAAAGAGATGTTTTACAGCCTTCGTCGATAAATGCTCTAACCAACATAAAAATAATTTTTCAATTCGAACCCATATTCCCTGAGATTAGCACGTTCAAACATGCAAACAAACTCTTCAGCTTTGTATATAAGTATGTATAGATTCCCACATTAGATTTTTTATATACTACCTTTATAATATGGCATACTTTATTTAAATGTTTAAAAATAGAAATCAAACTGTAATTTTACAGGAGAGAGCAGGGTATCGTATGTTCCTTGAGAGAGGGCTTTGGCTTCATCCGCTGTGTAGAACGTGACCAGACCATGTTCTTCCATTTTGCTGAAGTCTTGCGTCTTGGTCAAGAGCTTAGTGTTGGTGATGAGGTATGTAATATTTACTTGTATCGAAGAAATATAATTTTAATAGTCAAAAAAGACATTTTATTCAAGCTTATTTTATTTTCTTTTCTTTATCACCAGGTGGAGTTCACGGTTGACCCAGTAACAACATTTTCAAACATGGCGGGTGTTCGCCAGTCAGCGATCCGTATTAAACACCTGCCCCAAGGCACCGTGCAGTTTGAAACACTGGTCGAGAAGGGTATTCGCGGTGTCGTCACTAAAGAAGCGCCATCGTTCTCGTCTTCTGGTAGCCCTACACGCAATGGGACTTCGGTGAGTACATACAGTACAGTAACCTAACTCCAATTTTATAACTGGACTTATTTATATATTTTTGTCTAAAAATATTACCTTACAAGAGCAAAGTGACCGAAAATTGTTAACATAATTTTTAATTTATTATAAAACCATTTTTTTTTATTAGCTCACTCTGCCTCTAGCATACTCATCTCATAATATGTCAATATACCTTTACGTGTTTGTGTTCTCCTCTCCTCTTAACCTCTTTAAGGGTTTGAACACTTAACTTAAATAAACTCTATATTAATATATGTCTAACTTGTCGCGACGAAATAAAAATTATTATAAATTACACAGAAGTGTTTTTAAGTATACGCTGGAAACACACAAAACGCTAAATATAGACCTATTTTGCAAACCCATAGCTTTCTTAAAAAAACATGTTATGAAAATCGTATTTCAAAACGAAAAACTAATTTGATTATCTTTATAACAGTAGACAATAGAATCAAAGCGAAATATTTCATCAATACTTACAATTGCTTAAAAGACCCCCTGAAGTAAAAAATTAGAGAAACCAATATAACTGTTTTATTGCTGGTTATTTCATCCAATAAGGCAACTCGTATATAAATATGTAGGGCGGACGTCGCCAAGGTCGTTTCTAAGTGAGAAAATGGAGAGAGGGTCGGATTCCATTGTAACTAATTCTATTTTTATCATTATTTCAACGCTACGTGCAAAGTTAAATACGATACGATAATTTTAATGACTTATTTAGTCGGACTTATTTAGTCCTAATTTAAAATCTTAGAACAGCTAATACTTAATTACAGTACTTACGGATACTTAGAATTTTGAAAATATGTTTTCTACTCAAAAATTGCTTGAAAATGTTTATTTTAACGTAAATTAAAATTTAAAAAACTTGACAGCCAAAAGAACTGGCGGCGAGTTTCTTGCTAGTTCTTCTCGTTCGTTCTACGCCCTTAATTTGGAAACTTTAAAATTTTCAACAGTTTTAGCTACTACCCACATAAAAAAAAAATAATTGACTCAAAATTTGTAATAAGTTCATAAATGGAACAGCTTTTGTATGATGTCATTTTAAACATTCTTGTGGCCATATCAATTAGTAAGTAGCTAATTGATATGGCCAAAAGAGCTTATTTGGTGAAATTTAAGGCACAAAGATAAATGTCTTTGTACGATCTGTAGACAAAACAATAGAAACATTCTCGAAGTATAATTTTACACTTGCTCATTTGCTCTGTAAACAACTTCTAGACCTTATTAAAACAATGGCCCCATTTCATAGAGCGAAATTTCAATTCTAATAAAAATTATACTAGAATTAGATTGCATAAATAATATTTAAACGATGTTAACATTTAATTATACTATTTCTATAATTATTTTTTCAAGGTGGTTCAGATTTGTGCAGATTCGTGTGTATTTAGAAAAGTCTTTAGTTTTAACATCACAAATAAGATCGTTGAAGGATATAAATTAACTTATGTTGTTTTAGTGCGTAGTGTAAGCAAATTGCTTGCAAACCCGTGTTACATAATTAAATATAGACTCTAGATGAATATAGAGATAGTAAATGGGTGGTAGGAATGTTACGAACCAGCGTTGAAACATGAAAAAGCCGTTTAATAGCTTCTGGTTTCAGTCTGGACATCCGAATATTCAAAACCAAAATAGGCGGATAACACATCTTGTTTAATTGTTATATGAGGGGGGTATTTCACTGTCACGTGGATCCCATGCTTTAAAAATAAACACATTTCTCACCACTCGCAATATTAAAACTTTCCTAATTGTCCAATAAATTAATGACCGTGTATTTTCAAATATTACACGCGTAATAGATTCGAATAGATTAGCCACTTGAATCACTAACATGTCGAGTGATGATAGCTATTTGCGAATTTAGACGCGACGTATTGTAAAAACGGATATGCGATTGTGCAACACGGTCAGACCTTGTTGAAATCACTATCAATGTTCTTTATACTTGGTCGGGGCACATGCACAAATATTAACCGGTCATCGTAATTGAAATTTTCTATCCAGCCAATATTAATACCGTTATTGTATTATATTCTTATATTTTTCCTCCCTTTAAAGTTTTAGGGGCCTAGTTTTGAATTGCGTTGTTTAGCATAACGTCTGAAATCCAGTTTCGAACGAAACATTTTTTTCTATCTACTGGGAATGAGAATGTAGTGAAATGTATACGGAACTTAACTTATCTCTGCTTAAATTTATATATACATATAAATTTAAGCACACAGAGAGAGTTAATATTATATAGTTTTCTGCATCAAAATATCATGTAATGATAATAAGTACCTTTTATTTTTCCATAGGAAAATGGAGTCATTACTTGCCAAATCAACAATGTCAAAAAGAATATACCATTTTCGGCGAAGAAGTGTGAGTCGAAAATGTTGCCGCGCGTCGGCGACAAAGTAACGTTCGACATTTACCAGGTAAGCAATTTTTGCTATTTTTTGACAAAGAGAGACATGTACGGGCTTAATATCTTAGCCGTATAAAATATTAAGCTGAAGAGTTTTGTTTGTTTGAACGAGCTGATCTCAGGAACTTCGGGTTTGAATTGAAAATTATTTTTGCGATGGTTATCGTTTATCGAGGAAGGCTAAAGGCTATAAATCATCACGCTGCGACCAATAGAAGCAAAGTCACTGAACGACAAACTGCAGATTTACGCTTCACGGCTTTCCAACACCCACCCATTTTTTCTTTGTTATTTGTATATTTAAATGTGTTTACGGCTATAACGTCACAACGAAGGTATTTTTATATTACTCGAATCGAACAGTTCAATCTACAATTTATATGAACTACGTGTACGTTTTAAACATCTCACACGATCTACAATATAAACGGTTTATATTAAATTATCCTCTAAGCTGGTCTAACGTAAACACTGTGTAAAGATGGCTGTTTTGTGTCAGTGTGTTAGAACTAACCCGGATTTTACAGTTGAAGGCATTGACCGTAAATGATTTTTCAGTTACCGTTCTTACTTGGCGTGTAACCAAGATTTTGGTTTGATTGAAAAGAAAATACTTTTTAACTCATATTTGTTTCTAAAGATTGAAATGAATTTTTCTAATTTAAAAACGAATAAAATTGAGCAATAGCACGGAATGCGGACGATGCCGGTTCAAGTCCTACTCGATTCGAATTTTTTTTAAGGGCAATAATAACACGTCAAAAATAATAATGTTTTAAAATTAATTTTTCTGTTATGAGAATGACGAGAGAACACTTTTTACTAATAAAAGATTTAAAATTAATAGAAACATTTCCAGAGAAGGCTCAAAAATAAAGCTATTTAAATTCAGTGGTTAAAATACCACCAACTACAATAAGTATAGATTATTTTTCATGATATAGATTAAGTTTGTTCTACTGTATTAAAATGGTATTATATACTTCTGGCCTAACTTTGTGCTTTCGTTTATCAGTAAGAAAACCTCATATCGGTATATTCTATGATTTTAAACAAATACGCAATTTTTTGTTCCACAGTTTCTAATATACACAATTACCTTCAATCCTTAATCATTGTAGTAAAAACCAATTTGAAAACCACTTTAAATTTCTTCCATGTTGTAAATCATGTTTTTTGTAGTTAGGCCGTTGGTATAGCTGTTGTGCATCTGGTTTTTCTGTCATAGTAAAGTATTTATGATTTGTAAGTAATATTAGTAAAGTCTAAACTACGACTAACGTATATTGTGTGCCTTATCTAAATAAGAAATGAATGTTTAAAATCCTAATTTTAAAGCAATATTAAGTTCGTTACCCTTTGAATGCGTTATTAATAAACATTACATGCAAATTAGAACCAACAAGACCTTTGTGTAAGAGAGACATTGTGTTCGAAAGTAAGAAATAAGATCATATTGATACAACGGTAGCAATGTACGACACATGAATGGAGTTTGGCCCACCTAATATATTTCTAAAATTTATAATATTATAATTTTACTGTAACGTGTTAGTTAGTCTCCGTCTGAAGAATCTAGAAATGAAGTTGGTGGTAGAAAAAGCGAAATTTAATTAAGTAAATCCGTTCCTAAAGTCTGTCAAAATAGGTCGACAACATCCACTAAGTAAATACTTAACAATCTGAGAATAGAACGAATTAAAAATTTGATAAAACTTAGCTTATTGCTTGTGTAAACGTCAAAATGATGTGTGCGTATCGAAGATTCTAGTTGGTTTGGAGTTCTGTTTCCGGCTTTATAAAGATTTATCGAATGACACTAGTAGCCCTAGTATAGAAGAGAGAGTAGCCAATAGGATGTCAGAGGTGTGGCTGTGGGTCTCTTAAACGCCGTTTTGATGATGAATAATAGATAATATTATTATTTTTTATAAAATTGTGATGTAATCTTATTTTCCTTTCGCAGTCAAAGAGGACCAAAGATCTAATAGCGATGTCTGTGCAAGTACAACACAGTTTGACAAACGGAAGCTCATCTAATGGCAACGCTCGTCCAATAATGCAAGGATTTATCGCGGCTCTTAAGGACGGATTCGGCTTCATAGAGACATCAGATCATTCGAAGGAAATTTTCTTTCATTTCAGGTATGGCCAGATGTATGTCACTCAATTCTGTCAATTGAAAGTAGAGTCCTTTTATGCTTACTTAAAAGGGCATTATATTGTATATTGGTTTAGCTACTCTGTGGCCAACGCTGTTGACACCACAATAAATGTCGAAATGTCCGAAGGAATCACGTTTAAACCAATATAAATAGTTTTAAATACTGTCTATAGTATACGCGAGTAGTACACATCAATCAATCATTTTCAAACTTATTTGAAAATGATTGTTAATTTTGGCCCGACGTTTCGGATGCTCCCCGTCTCCACGGCTGCTTCAAAGCACTAACTAAGATATCGCGTTTTAAACCGTTTAAGTGTTTTATTTAAATAAATAGTTTAGTTTAATAGGTAATAATATATAATATTATAATTAAAAGTATAAATTACTCTTCTCTGTTATTCGATTTTATAGTTTAAAATTCTTGTCGGAGTATGACGTCACTATTTATTATCTATTTATCGAATTACAATTTTTTATTATCCGCTAGTTTTTTGCATCTACTTTCATTTGAAAGACTTAAATGATACAAAAATAATTCATTATGTTTCCTTGCTTTGCTTTCCACTTTTTTAATCTCATTGTTTTTTGTAAATTATGCTAATGTCATTAATAACCTCAGTCTCATATATATATTAGAGAAAAAAAACGTTTGGAAACATTTATTTTCAAGATTGTTCTTTATGCTGGCGTGCGATTTTGTTTCACCATATAATGCCTAGTTACCATTGTACTAATAAAGCTGGCTGGATTGAAAGATAATCTATTTTTGGCTCGTGCTATTTGGCGTTGTCTAGGTCAGGTCAAGGTTTCGGATCGTCTGCTAATATTTATAGAATAGAAACAGCAGGTAAAATATGCTAATGTTGTCGCAAGACAATCTGTCATATAGGTTTCAACGAACAAAATCGAGTGAAAATTATTTATGCGAGACCTGTCCTAACTTTAAGGCTTAAATTTGAAATGAAACCTTTGTATTTGTCTAAAATTGTGTAATAAACTTTGTTACGCCTTTTCATTATGTCACAGATTTTTTTTTGTTCTGGCTTGCGATTTAATTTGTAATATTTATTGCATTATACATTGTATGAGGCTTACGCGGCCATTAAGCCCAGTTGCTTGGGTTTTGTTAGCTGTCTCCACGTCGTTAGTCTTTGCACCATCTCATAATGTCATCCACTTGTTATGGCGAAACGTCTAGAGAACCCTTTTTAATAACGGCCGAATAGTTTGAAAACCTATGTACACAAAGGTGTCCAGTATTCTCCTAAGCTCCATTATACAATTTATCATCTCTTAGAATCCTGAATGTGTTATTTAATTTTTAATACAATGATTCTCTTTTACTCTTCTTCGTGGACCATCTATTTGTCAATAAATAGGAATGGAACAGCGAAGGCTTTGTTTTGTTTTGCTTTGCTACATGAGCCATTTTTTTTTTAAATCTGCTTGCGTTTTATATTACTATTGTGCCTGAAATCTTGACTTAAACACCTACTACTAATATTACAAAATTTCAGTAACCTCGAGCGCAGTCCCGATGGCCTCGAACTCGGCACAGAAGTGGAGTATTCGCTGGGCAGGGCCAGCAGTTCGGGTGGTGGATGCGCTAGCGCAGAGTTCGTGCGCGTATTGCCTCGCGGTACAATTCCTATCGCGAGGTCGTTGGACGCGACCCTCAATGGCACGGTGACGCGTACACTGCGCGCCCTCAATCCAGACCAAGCTCAGTATTCGGGTAAGTTCGACGGGCTCGTTGGTGTAATGGTAGCTATGTACGCCCAATAAACAACTGGTTGCGGGTTCAATCCCCACCGGGTCTTTTTCTGAAACATGTTTGACTACGTCTGGAAATCTGGATATTAAATAGAATACCCGTTAATAACCACACCAGCGTCCACAGATGAAAGAGTCGTTAAGTGTAATCACGTTACGGTTTCAGTCTAAAAGTTGAAACAATATGTCCATGTGGCGTCGTGTTGAGATGTATATGATTGGGCCATTTTATGTCAGTCACACACGCATAGAATAACTAGCCCTTCAAATAAATAATTAGTTCATTGTATGAATTCAAATTTACTATAAGAATCATTGGCCAAGCTTAGTCAGAATCCATTTTAGTTACGGTTTACTGAACTAAACTTTTTATCATGCATCTGCTCTGATGTTTGTATATATCCTCGATATTAGTGACTAGCTGTGTCAGCGACTTCGTCGGCCTAGAATACTTATTTCGGTCAACAAAATTAGTTTTTGCAAAATTCTCTAACCAACACAAATAGTTTTTTTAAACTCCCATGACCAATTCTTAGATTAGCGCGTTTAAACAAACTCTCCGGCTTCATATATGTATTAGTAAAGATTTTTTTTGTTTGTTATTTTTTTTTGACAGGTCTGATCCAAGTGGAAAACGGAATATCCTTTGAGTTCGGCATAATGGGCTTGGCTAGCAAACGGGAGATCCTTCAAGTTGGCGATCCGGTTACCTTTCAGGCGGACATGGAGGGCCGAGCGACTAACATAGTGCCCGTTAGGAAGAAACGACGCGCTGTCGTTGACGCTATTAAGGGTAATTATTTTGAACCAATGTTTGACGGCCAATAATCAACTCGTATTCTAAACAATTTATCTATAGAGATCTGGATATTAAACGGGCGGTAGGAATATCGAAATTCCGTCCAGGTCACGAACCACCGTTAACAGCCCATTTTGTGTTGATGTTTTAGGGTATTTGATGGGTATCAAGCAAACCCCATGCTTACTCTATCATTGGAAAAAAGAACTGTCAAAGTCTCATCACAATCTCGTCTGTCAATCGCTTGTGGCAAAAGCCAGTGTAGACACTATGGTGGTAGTAGTTTTTTTTATCAAAGTCAAAACAGGTCGACAATGGGGGGGTGTTTCACCTATTCTAAAAAAAGCCAAGAAAGGCTAACGCTACCAAATAAGCCAGTGTGAAATAGCAGACAGCTCTTTTGACGATAGACACACAACACTACTCTACAGACTATAACATGGTAATCAACATGTGTGTGTGTATGGAGTCCCGTTTCCCTCGTGGTGCATGGGGCGAACACATGTCTGTGCCTGTTGCGCTGATCGCTTTTTATTTACAGGCAAGTAGTTGATCGGACCTTTGTGCTCTGCCCGACTTTAACAATTTATTGTCTCCCCGGGATTCGAACTCAGGACCTCACTTGCTTAGCGAAATGTTACGGCCTGTGTACTTATGTTCTTCTTCTTCTTTGACAGGTGGTTTTGGTTTTCTATCGGTGGAGGGCGATGACAACCGTCGCCTGTTCTTCCACATGTCGGAGGTCCGCGGCAACCACGCGGAGTTGCAGCCGGGCGATTTTGTTGAGTTTGTGATGCTGACGAACCCGAGGAACGGCAAGTCGTCCGCTTGCAATGTCGTCAAGACCGGGTAATGGCCGTTTTGCTATTCGCTTACAACTAAACAACAGTGTGAAACGTGAATCTAGAAATTTAAATTAATTGCGATTACGGCGCGACATTTCTAACTTTGGATAGAAGAGGATAGACAGCATGGGGTTTACTCGATGGTAGGTGATATACCACATCTTATAGCATCTAAACAAGATGTGATGTCTACCTATTTTGACATTAGATTTGTTGTTGACGGTGGTTCGTAACCCGAACGGAATTTCTATATTCCTACCATCCCTTTAATATTTATAAATTGAAAATTGGAAACATATTGGACCTGGTGGGTATTGAACCCACGACCCGTAAATCATTAACCATACATCGCTACCATTAGACCAACGAGCCCATAAAACTAATATATTTCGCGTTTCGAGCAGTTAAAAGGGTATTTACAGTTATAATTGTTAAATTGTATTTTATGTTTCAAAGCTCTTATGGAATGGTAAAATTATGGATGTTTAACGACTAGATATTATCACTGAATGTATGAAATATTAAAACTGTAAAATAATTACAATTTAAAAATAACATATTTCTTTCCACTATGTGATACTGAATTTATATATTTAATTTGAAATATTGTTTTATTGTTACAGGAGCAAGGGTGCAGTAAGCAAAGCCCGCCCCGAGCGGTTGCTAGCTCGCCTCCGCACTATGTCGCTTGAGGACGCGTCGTCGCCTCGCGTGATCGTTGCGCGGATGCCCCGGGGCCCTGATGGAACGCGAGGGTTTCGCCCCAGGCGCCCGTTCAACGGTACTAAATACTACTTTATTCCTATATAACATAGAAATAACATACATATAACTAAAGTGAGCGGTTCAAAACGTGAAGTCTACTAAAATAAAGCTGAATGGTATGTTTGTTCTAACTCAGTAACTACCGGTTTGAGTTATTAATTATAAACACTTTCATTGTGTTGTCTTATTTTTTAATTTAATCCACAAAGTTAAATATGGTTTATATTCAATTTATCTGGATTGTTTTGCAAAATATAGGTGTGGAGATTTTTTTTTTAAATTAAATAATAAGTGAAAAGAATCCACAAAATTATAATTAACTTTTATTTATTAAAAAAAAACAATTTTCAGATCAACTACCTGAGTGAGACTCACAGCAAGGCCTGAAAAATACAGCTATTATACTGCTATGTATGTAGATAAAGCATCCTAGATTTGTTTCAAATTCAAGTTTATGTAAACTTCCGCAATCCTGGCACTCTCCATCTTGTATACGTTCAAACGACTATCTCTCATAGTGACTAAGTTTTAAACTGTACCATTTGGAAAGGGTTATTTCGCGAAATCGAACAGCTTTATTATTATATGACATCACATCTTGATAGTAATTATTGTTTTATTAATTTATTATGAATATTTTGACGTGGCAATAACCCTTTCGAAAATGAGCATACCTTTTCGTTTAGTGCTAGTTGACAGACGCGAAAATATAACTGACATAGAATAAGTAACGACGTACAAAGAATTTGTAAATCTTATGTATTTAACGAGCCCCGTCGAACAAGATGTATGGGTGATCAAAATCGTTTTAATTTTGCAAGCGACTGTACGGCGAGGGTGCCAGCCGTTGCACGGTTTAACAGTGTCATTGTAATCACGAGAGACTGACTGATTCTCTTTTTTTAGAAGCATTTAGAAAATTGTTTTGTTGTTATTTTTACTGAAATATCTGTCGTATCATAGTAAACGAACAAGCGAGTCGCTTAGACACGAGCGTCGAACATATCAATTGATTAACGAATTTTGTTTGCATGTTTATTTTCATGTGTTTGTAAGAGGTTCTTTTTCGCGATGAGACGACGTTCAAAATTCCATTTTAGCTAACACGGTTATGAGAGACGCGTACCGCGACACTTAACATACGAAGTGTTTTTATTAACAATTACATCTACATAATGTACAAATTTGTGTGTTACTATGTTAAGGATCTCAATCGATGCATCGGATAAACTGTAGGTAATGGACAATATTCCACCCCTAAGGTAATATACACAATAGATCTAAGGTCCCAATTGAATTTTATACATAAATGAATTACAATCCTATTTATATATCGATTTTATTCAATTTCATACTATTCTAATAATTGATTATAGCCACGAGAGCTGAAGACAAAATTTTATTTTAAAATTGTATAGTTTATTTTTATCTGTTCATTTTATAATCGAAGAATGTTGATTATGTACAGATGCGTCTACATCGCTTAATGAATTGCGTTTTATTTTAACAATTACATATTTTAAGTTAACCCCGGTCAGTACTATAGTGACAATGATGGTCTAAGCTGTAAAACCCTCTCTGCATTTTTACAACAGCAACAGTATTTTTAGTTAAATTATCTAAAAGATGACTATTTATTCTATCGTAATGCTATTCAAGCTGTCAGGTCCAGACATTTCTGTCTGTTAAATGCTGCGTATTCCAAGATTCTGCTTGAATAATCCCCATATGTATAAATCATGTAGTGATTAAGGATTTTTAGTTATGTAAATTATTCTTGTATCGGCTATTCCTTGTTTTATAAATTAGATCTCTATAAAAATATCCTGTGATGTAAATGAAAACCTAATGTGCAATAATAAATGAAACATGTCCGCAGGGCGCGCTTAGTCTAGTCTAGTTTATACAACGCTTCGTCTGTTATGTGTCCTCATAGGGATTAGTGTCAAACATTAAATTACACGCATTTATATAATTGCCAAAGACTGACATCGCAATGGAAATATATATTATCTATGTCTGTTCAATGGAAGTAGATATTATGAAATCGGCATTTAATTCAACAAGATTATGACGACTTGACTTGGACACACTTGGATAAACATATTTGAGGTTTTTTTAATAAAACCTTACTTACCACTTTAAACTTACCTACCACCGCTGATCTAAGATCTAGTTAAAAGTTCTTATTATCGCTTAGATTCTAAAATGTATTTGACATTCTTTCAAATTGCTATATATTTTTTGTGTCTACCTTCATTGGACAGACAACAATGTCCGTAACAAAGCCTCGTTGCCTCGAATACGTAATTGAAAGATCGCGTTGCATGAATGAATAGCTTTTAATTCAATTGGACTGAAGTTATGAAAGCAATAAAATATAATAAAGTGCGTGTTCCCAAATCCATTTAAAATCGCGGATATTTCTACTGGTAGCTTTAGGTGTTATATTGGCGATGTAGTGTTTGTAGTCTACGCGAATTTTACCTAAATAAAACACTCAACGGTTTGAATCGCCGAAAATATTAGCTAACTTGCTGCTAAGCTCGTAGTTTAAGGTTTACTCGCATACACGCGTTTTAAACCGTTAAATGTTTAACATTGGCGATTCTGAAATTGAGCTTAACGCTTTCATTAACTTTTATTCGAGAAATTAGATTTTTAAACTCAATCTTAGTGTTAGTACTGATTTGCGGCTAACTTAGTCAGCGTAAGACAACGAATATAATAGCGCTGTAAAAGACAACAATGTCGTTATTTGTATGTTAGTATTGATTAAGGTATTAGTGCCTTGCTTTACTCGTTACATTACAGAGGCTAATTGAAGACAAAAAACTCACTAACGCGAAAATCTTAACTCCTTAATACTATTATACAAATACTTATAAGGTCATGATGTATGCTTGTGTGCATGTAAGTCACGCCAACGAGATAAATTGGGAATTTTGAACAGTCGTACGCCGTTTCCTTACGCCGCTTTTGTATTTTTTTTTCGCTGTTACATACAGGGGTATATTGAAAAGCGACACATTCTCAACTGATAGTTTAAGCTGTGTTACAGTAAATTGAAACCTCCTGTATATGTTGTATTTGCTACTATACTTTTTCAATTTTTTTTTCGAGGTGTATTTATCGTTGCGTTTTGTCGCTTTCTGACGTAACTCTGTATTGCCTGTGTAACCACTATAGCTATAATGAGGTGGATTATTAATATTCGATGTTGTAGTGTATTTTTCCCGGGTCGATTCGGGTTTAGGTATTATGATGTACTAGTCTTAAACATTTACCATTTCTTCGGGCGAAGTCAACGCGTAACGCTATTATAAAGATCTGTACCGTCACACTACGGTTTGCAGCTCGAATACCCTGTCTCGCTCCCTCAAGTACTAAATAACACGTGTCCGCAAGAGACGACTGTTGGCTATGTACATTTGTAGTGTGAGGTCACGTTTTTAATACTAAAAATCTTTGTAAACAAAAATTCCCTACGGTCAGCATCGGTTAGACCGTCTTCGTTTATTTTTGAAGTTTTATTTCCGAATTCTAACAATTTTAGCCGTTTTAAGAAAAATTTTAGCGTAAGTTGTGTCGAGGGTATCCAAAGTATTATACGTCGGTCTTTCCTCACCTGACCCGACACTCATCTGTGCCGACAAACATTGTAGTAACGAATTTGGTGATTAAATTGTTACATTTAACAGTGCCTAAAAGAACCTCTGACTTAATACGAAAGCATCCAATGTGAAGAATACTTACAGAATTACAAATTTTAAAACAAGAGTATATTTTTTAATTTAGTTTATCGTCTATGATATGACAACGGTTATGCCAAATGTATAAGATGTACAATAAAAATGTGATTGAACAAAATGACCGGATCGCCTCCGAGTACGGGGTGTCGTGTTCATTTGTATCTAATATACGTACTGAAATTCTTCTAAACTTAGGTTGCCTGTTTTCAGCTTACTATGTTATTCTATAAGTGTATTACACACGGCGTCTCGGTGCATGTCGTCGAAATTATAGCTCTCCAAATCATGCAATAAAGTACACTAAACATAATATATATAACTAATAAAAAAAATGTGATTATACCACGTACAAAACTTATTTTATTTACACTGCACGGTTAATGGAAAGATTGGAGGATTTTCACCGTTTATCGAGTATGAAAATATACCTTAATATAATTTTTAACGATACCGAAAAAGGCGCCATTAAGATTCACAAACGATATTGGATATGCCCTTTGCCACTTTAAATAAGGAATCAGAAGTCTAATTAAAATCTGAAATTAACTTAAATTAAAGGAATATGTGGTTTTATGATTTATCGAATAAAAATATAATAGAATTCGTTTAAATATTTTAAAAGAAGAAATGCTATGTTAAATCATGTTATTCGTCAATACTAAACCATCAAGCTTTACGTCATTCGGGGGCAATCAGTGAGTACACTTCCGCGGCCTTCGTTTTGACCACATATGACGTCACACTACGACCTGGAGGCTTTGGAGGCATTTTTAAACGAACTTTTTTTTATATTTTTCTGTGTCTTAAAATACTTTAAAAGCTATATAAACAAATAAATTCTTATTTTGTGTCGAAATAAGTATAAATAAGATTATTTAAAAATATTTTCTGAAAGTTTGGCCGATCCCCTATTATAATTGTTATTTCTTACAGTACAATAATAAATTTGGCGTAAAGTTTGAAAATGAAACATATATTACATCTACAAACGCAATCTTAGTTACTGTATAAGATGGGGCAATCCCAATAATGCCCCAAGTCAATACTAAACACTCAAAATAAAACATGGGTTTCAAAGCAGTTCAAAGTCAGTTCACAAATACTATCAATTTATTGACTATAGTGTCTTTTCAATATTCTAAACAATATATGTCCGCCTTAAAACTAATTTTGAGACCACCTTTTTAGCGAAAGCTAAATTCATCTGTTAATAATCGACCTAAATTAACGTAAACAATGTTTTCTATACTAAAATGTTTCACTTAACAAAGGCACAATTGGCAAAATATGAAGCTGCTAGAGGCAGACTGGCCTAATAACAATTGACAAGATTTTCAATGAGGAAAATAAAAATGCACAATTAATTAAGGCAAAATTAAATTTGTTCTATTAATTGGATCAAAGTTATGTTAACATTTTGGATCATTGTGCTCATGTAGATTAACATTTCTAGACTGAAAATATAAATAACTCAAGTCATAAAATTGTAGTTAGGCTACTCTGCTTCTAGCGGCCTAATATAATGCCAAAATTGGTAAAATTAAACCCCTATCAATATAACAAATCCTCTGATTGGATGATAATGATGGATATCCATCTTCTTAACTAGAGTTTTGCTAGCGAGCATTTTTCTTAACCAGTTTAGATCATATCTTGGTTTAATCTAGAGATTAATTGACTAAAGGCGTATTGCCAAATTGTTCCTCCATTTGTTCACACGTCAAGTTGACGAAGCGGTTCTTGGTATCGTAGTTAGGCCACCTGCGTATCGCGTTGTAGAGTATGGAACCAGGACTGGCAGTTGATCTGAGATCTTTTGCGCCGACGATCTGGTAATCTTTCCGGAGGTGGCCTAACCGTACACCCTCGTCTAAGAGCATTCTCGTTCTGTTCAGCTGGGCGGCGGTGACTGTAGAATGGTTTGGCATGTCTCCGCGATAATCACCTATGAATGATAATAGCGACATTAAATAAAGCTACTAGAGCCAGAGTGGCCTAATAAATAAAAACATGATTCTCACTAAGTAGGAAAATAAAGATGCGCAATTAACACAAGGGGGGGAGGGGGGGTATAGTAAGATATCTCGTGTATTTATTTTTTCGTCAAACGCGCGATTTTTAAACAAATGGTGTAGACATTTTTATTATAGTCCTTAATTTCAGAATAAAATAAGATTATAGTTTATACCTGTATTTATATTAAGATAATATTCAGAAAATGTTAAGATCCTTTGTAGGTACTAAAAATACTCGTGATGTTGATAAGGGGGGGGGGGGGGTGTGGTCTTAAACCTCACTACGTATCACCCATGGGGGAGGGGGGGTTTAAAAATTCTAAATAAGGTCTCGTGATTAATGGACAACCCCCAACTTATACGCATAATCAATGAAAAGTATTTACCTATAAAACCGATTCCTATAGAGCATCTATTGTAGCCGAATGTGTGAGCTCCCTCTATATTCCAGCCTCGGCCATCGTACACTCGACCGTCGTTGCCGATCAGAAAATTATACCTGTAGAAAAGAAAGCTCTCAAGATAATCACACTAAACAAAGCTGTTTTAAAACGCTCTGGTGGTAGTAAAAGGTACGAAAGGTAGGCGCTTTTTAAATAAAACAGTTAACGGTTAAAAACTCGCCATGTATAAACTTATTTTTATGTATTTTTAACTACTTACGGTTGTTATAAACCGTTAAAATTGTTGTATTAAATGTATACTACTTAGATTTTATTTCGATTTATACGATAAAGATACGATCGCAACAATAAGTTAGGAGAAAGTCATCCCTGTAGTGGAACAGATAGAAAAAAATTCTACGTGGTCTATAATATAAAGCGCGTTTATTGTAGTGCTCCTAAGTACAATAAACACGGCCCCAAGTTCGAATTACGGTGAACCAAAAATGTTCAATAGGGCACTAAGGTTTTTATCAGATCGAAATTTATTGTACATTGGGCCAAAGTTTTTGAAAGTAACCGGATGTTTTGGTAAGCGGGCCAGGGTTCGCCGAGTTAAACTAGACCAAGAGTGTCCCGAGGAGGGCATCGGCTTGGGCTAGGACTACCGCAATTTCACGTTTTTTTTTCATTAGAGATTTTTAAGATTGTGTGACAGGTGAAAGGTGACCATTGAACTAACATATTTTTTAATGATACAAGAGGGCAGACGAGCACGGGGTTAACATGATGATGAATACCCCAGTCTATAACATTCGGAAATCCACAGACTGAACCTAAAATGTGATTAAACTTTAAGGCTTTTTCATCTATGGACGGTGGTTTGTGAGCCGGACGGACTTTCGATATTCCTACCACCACATGTGGTATGTTTCAGAAAAATTACATTGAGGTAACTCTTTCATTACGCTGTTACAATTGAGGCCGCTAGAGGCAGAGTAGCCTAATTGTGATTTTATGTTTATTTTCATAGTCTAAAAATGTTAATCTACAAGAGCAACAGTGACCGAAAATTGTTAACATAATTCTTACATAAATTGCGCAATTTTATTTTCCTTGTTGAAAATCATGTTTATTGTTATTAGGCCACTTTGGCTCTGGATTTTTAAATAATTGTCTCATGTAATATAGAAAAACACTCACGGTATATCATAGTCGTAGGTCCCAATAAAATAGTTTTGCATGTTGCGTAATTCTGCAGCGCATACGATGAATCTGGAGCAGCGAGGGCTGACGGTGTGCTGGATGATCACCAGCATTAATGGCTCAAACTTGTCAAGTGTGTAAGTGTAGTTGTACGGCTGGGCCAACCACATTTCCCGGGATATCCTCCATTCGTGCGGCGCTGGAATTAAAAGGAAATAATGTAAAAATTACTTCAAGGGAGGAAAGCTATTGGGGAAAGTCTTATAATTTATCCTAAAAATGTATTAGAACAATATAGGTAAGTCTGGTTTCGAATCCCACTGACATACTTGGCTGTAAAAAGTCAAAGTCAAAAAAAGTGTAATTGGGGTGTTGTTTTTACAAAATTATTATAAATAGTACCTTTTACTGTAATGTCAATTATCATGTTTACCCGCTACTCAAACTCAAAAGCTTAACGTTATGTTCCATATTTAAACAACTAGGTCAAAAGAAATATCTTTTTTTTTAAGATTTTGGCGGCCATCAGTTTGAAATTATTTCACAGGGTCGTGGTCTAATGGTAGCAATGTATAGCTAATAACCTACGGGTCGTGGGTTCGACCCCCACCGGGTAAAACATTTTATATTTTTTCCGAAATATGTTGGACTTCGTCTGGATATTAAATGAGTGGTAGGATATAGACATTCCGTCCGGGTCACGAAACACCGACCGCTTAATAGAGTTTCTGTTTCAGTCTGTAGATTTCCGAGTATCCAAAGGCAAAATAGTAAATACATTTACAAGACGTGACACTACGATTCAAGAATTTCCTATCTGTACTTATAAAGTAAACATGGACAGATTAATTAGAAAGTGACGATAAGGAGTTTATCTGCGCAGATATGTCTATAATTACTGTGAGATATCAAATCGCAATAACATACATATGAATACAATTACAATTTAAAGCGGTTATAAAGGTAATCATTATGAATTAGAAGGGCAACGTTATAGAAGTGCTGGTGTGTTAGGCAGGCGAGCGATAGCACAGCGACCGATCTCTGCGGTCTCTTTGCCCTATGTTTGAGATAAAGCATTACCATGAATTGCATCCAATAACTTTTCATGCAGCTCTTGGAGTTTCTTGGCAACACTTTTTGTATTAAATAAAAAAAGAAAATAGTTTTCAGACTAAGAAGAAAATTTTGAATCACACGAAGATTTTTAATTAATATATTAACACATGATTCTATTTTTCATAAAATGGTCTATCGTTACTTCTAGCGCTACGGCTATTATAAAAACATTTACTCTGTCTACCTGTGCAGACAGAGTAAATGTTTTTTTAATGATATTTTTAACAGGTTAAAGTGTAGTGTGCAATATGTATATAAACCCTAGCTGTGCTCGCGACGTCGTCCGCGTAGAATAGTTATTTTGGGCAACAAAATTTGTTTGTGTAAACCTCCTCATCTTTCCAAATTATACCTGATTACCCAAACGTCGTTCGCCACCCATTTGCAAGGAAATCTTAAAAGGTATGACAATTATTTTCATATATTTTTTAGATAATTTAAAAAGGTTTATCATCCCATACGTATTTTTGGAGTATTTTGTACCGTTTTCGTAGCGCACGCAACTGATTAATTCTCCCCGTCAGAACCGTACTGTTGTACTGAGCTGTTGTAACTCGTTCGTTGCGTGCCTGATATTGTTGAACGGAAGTTAAATAACTTCGAACATTGTATTTACACATATAGATAATTGTATGACTAATCGTACCTTTATCTATGTATTGTTCAGCTGAGTTCGCTGTGAGTACTGTGAAGTACAGAATAAGTGCTATACATGTGATTAAAACCATGAGTGCGATTCCACAAGAGATCCTCTCTGTTCGCGAACTGTTCTTAACGATGTCCCACAGGTATTTCGGACAGGAGAGCTCTGGAAAGACAGGGATATAATATGTTAGCAAGTTTCGCCTTGTATACCTTTACTAAAATAATTAACGTATATGTATGTAAAAAGTAATTAGGGTATTTTTGATGTAATTACTTATTTACAATTAAAAATATAAACAAGCTTTGTAAATTTGAAGAAAGTATTGTTTTAGACTTAATAAGATGCAAGTAACAGTTTTAATATGTCGTCATCAATGGAGTTATCTTTAAACTAACGATTCTTAAATAAAAAATCGGTTTCAGATTGAAAAAAATTACGACACGGCGAGACTTGAACCGGCATTCACAGCTTACCGTTCTGATCTAAATCTAAATCGTTAAACTCGTAAATTTTTCTCAATATAAAATCGATTTTAACTTCTATAACGCCATCATGCGCAATGACATCAAAATAATCGTCAAAAATATTAAAGTTTTCAAAGGGTGAGCAATGACAAACTCCGTATCACTTTGAACCGATTTTGTTTATAACAAATACCTATTTGTAGGTAATATTAAGATAGTAAAAAGTGTTGATGATAAAAATCTGATGCAAAATAAAACAGAACTCCCATACTATGAAATATACTTAGTCGATAATATTCTGAAACTTAGCTGTTAAGGTCGGATATTTATAAAAATATACTTGACGTCTCTTTATAGACTCGCCAGCTGTTAGACGAAAGAATCAGGAAAAAAAATTAAAAAGTAAGTAAATTTTAAAAAGTTAAAAGCAACCTCACTTTATAGTTTTAGTAAATTCATTATAGTAGTTTTCGATTAACATAGCAAATTCTTAACTTTATTTTCATTACAACAAGTTTTAATAACTGCTAATTTACATTTCAATAAACATTTTAAACGAATAGATGACAGATAATATATTCATTCGCCATGTTTTTATAGCTTCCATATGACAGTAAATTTTATTTTCCAAGAATTAGCGATCGCAAGCTGACGTCATTGTATAATTACCTACTACGTAAAAATAAACTCTAAACATTTGTGAACCGCCTTGGCGTGTTTTAGCTGTAAACAAAGAAACTAAAATAATGTTAAATTCCTATCAAACAATAATATGAACCTATTTTAAAAATTAAAATATAAATAACGTGGGATGACTTTCCATTAACTAACAAAATAAAATAAAATATGCTTCATTCTCTTTCGTCAATTTTTTTTCCGTTTGTCCGTCAGTTCGTCGTGATTCTACAGTGTTGAAAAGAGTAACATAACTGAGAAGAAAACCCAAGAAACTCAGTCCGGCTTTTTAAAATATGTCTTATAAATCTACACCTGCAATTCTCAAGAAATACATTTTCCTTATGTACCTGAATCTATATTATTTTCATGTAAGCGGATAAGATCTTATTGAAAAAAGATTCGGAATTTGAAAAATCGATGTCACAGGCAATACTCGCAGCTACGACGAGCTAAGTGATCAACGTGGCGTCGTTTATGATCTGAGTGTAATTTTTTCATTCAGAAACACTTTTTTATTGTTTGATTAACTCTCACATTGCAATTGGTAAATTATATTATACTAGCGGCCCCTACCCGGCTTCGCACTGGTAGACATAAATAAGTACACAGATTAAAATTCTCTGGCTTGCGATTGAGACGCGTACACTATAATACTTTCCACATGATCTTTTTAGGAAGAAGACTCTCCAATACGACTATTCTTAGATAGCTGCGACCTTCTTCTTCTAGGCATATTGCTATGAAGGATATTTATTTTAAATCAGAGAAATTAAGAATAAACACTAATAATATAACTAATAATAGCGATAATTCTGAAAAGAACTTTGACAAATTTTATGCAAAGTAGCTTTGAAAATAACTTTTTAAGTGAAGCATAAAAATGTTTAAAAAAAAACGAAATATTCAATGTCGTTCGCGCCCACTGCGTAAGAAGCCCACTGCTCCTCGATCGTCGAATTAGTTACTCGATGCGATGATAATTTTTTTATTTTCATTATATCTTTTGAATGGAATGTCCGATTTCAATAAGTAAAAAAGTAATCATCAGGTATTGAGACAGTGTTGAATATTAAATTATTTATTTGGATAAGAACTTATAAATTCAGGGATAACACGGTCTGATTTTGATCAGCATTTCTATCAATTTGTCAAATGTAAAAAAGAAGTTATAGCGACGTAACTACAATAGTTAGACGTATGCTCTCCCGATTTTTTTTTAGATATTAATATATTCTATAATATTGTCGAACATTTTTATGTCCTATCATTAATACTTTTCGCAGCGTACGCGAAGAAAGATATTTTACGCCTAACTTTTTTACGCCTTCCGTTGATTTTAGTAAGAATCTCTATAGATATCTATAGTAATCGAGTACTAAATATAGCCTATGTTACTCAGTGATAATGTAGCTTTCTAATGAAAAAAGAATTATTAAAATCGGTCCAGTACTTTTGAGTTTACCCGTTACATACAAAAATACAAATCTTTCCTCTTTATAATATTAGTATAGATGACTTACCTTCGTATTGTCGAAGAAAAACCGTCAGCGGTGTTTACTTGTTCCAATAAAATAAAGGTTAAATACGGTTTCTTAACTTATCATTTATTACGAACAACATACAAATAATATCATGAAGTATAAAATGAGTAAACATACTTAACACCTAACCTATTGATACACCAGAGATTTTGAGATCTTAATTTTAAAAATAAGATTATAATTCCAAATAAATATCGAAGGGCGTTCCAAGTTGTTTAATTCGAGACTAATATTTCGTGCCTATTTTGATTGATTTGGTTTAATACACAGATTATCAATGGATTTATATCATCCTCCACTTTCACCAAGCTTATAAACTTATAATTCAGATTAAAAATAACCCTATTATGTCATAAGTCGACAGACAGCAATCGCCGAAACGAACAACGTTCAACCAAAATGCACTTGGTAGTTCCACAATATTTCTAAGTTTCATCTAGATAAACATCTAGTGTCGTTAACGGGGTTCCAATTATGAATTCTGTCCATGGCAGCCATGATATGTGGTCCTGGAGGTACTGTTAAGGGCTGGACTTGACACTGTCCGTACACAGCAAAGTTGGGATCTAATACGCCCAGTGTGACAAGTCTGTCTAAAAGAATGTTTAAGTGATGGAACTGGGCATCGTCAGGCATATCGTTCACGTAGTTTCCTATAAACATGATAGTTATACTACGTCTGTTCCAGGACGCTACCATTGCACTTAAAATGTTAGCGCCTCTACCCTCAAATATAAATCCTTTACCACCGACCAGAAAGTTAGGCCCAATATCCAACATATCCCGCCGTAAGTGATCCTGTTGTATTGTTAGCATAACTTCTATGCATTCGTACTTTTGGCTACAGTGTCGAGTAGCCGAATGGCCGATTAAGACAACAGTTACGGGGAGTGTGAGAAACTCGTGGCTGTATGCGGGCATCGCTTGCCAATCTTCCCGTCGGAGATACCAGGGCTCCGATAAACCTGGCGAAGATGAAAACGTAAGTGCCATAAATTGTTGTCGGTTAACTAACGAAAGTAGAACCTCACAAATTAAAAATCTATTTGCAATGAAACCAAAATAGCATAGACTACACTAAGAGAACTGTTTTCTTTGTTATCTACTGCTAATCGCTGTAGATATAATCACTGGCGGAATATACCTGTAACACGTCCATTAAAAATACTTTTGAAATTCTATTTACTTCGAACGAGTTGAATGGTCTATTATTTATAATTTGTGCAAGTGAATACACTAAATAAAAAAAATCGAGGTAGTTAAAGGAAAGAAAATAATATCAGACGAGGTCATCTGTCGCGTGTTCGAATCCCGTAAATGTCATAGTGTCCTTTTCACAGTGAAAAGGACAGTGCGTAAACGTAACCGAATAAACTGTTGCTGTACGTCACGTGCACGTGGATTCAAGTCATCGTAACCATTATATTTTATTTCTAATCACTATCATTAAATTTAGAATTCCATCTGGTTTTTTTATTTAGTTTTAACTTTTTGAATTATCAAACTGTGGCAGAATGAATTTTGGATATAAATTACATAGATCTACTACAGAAAGATGTTCATTTTGTTAAAAATAAATGTTTAGAGGGTGACTTTTTTGTCGTTACAACAGTTCCTTCGGCAACTCTTAAATCCTAAACATAATCTTAACGCACTTCTAAAAATAATTAATTGCAAAATAATTGTTTATTATTCTGTTATTAAATAATTTGTATTTTAAGAGGAAGAGTATCTATTCATCTTTATTAAGTAGCGATGTAATCAATAAATCCCATAATGTATGAAACACGAGATTTCAAGAAAAATGTTCCAACAATCCCCTCGCTCCCCTACATATTAAGATTTCGCTGCTAAGTAATTTGTGAGGTTCCGATTTGTTTGTAATTTAGGAGGTACGTTACCAATGTCTAGCCGAGAGTGTTGGCGGGGTATGGCCAAGTAGATGAGGTATATCGCCAGCCCGGAAGCGACAAGAAATGCCCAACATACGAAGACGGCCACGCTGCAGCGTAATCTGCGCGAACTTTTTGACGACACCAATTCGAGGCCAAGAATACGGCCTGTGAACAAGAAAGATACACTTTTTCAAGTGGAAGAATTCACAGTTAAGCTCTATAGACACTCATTACAAAAGAAATGTTAAAACGAAACACGACGCTATCAAGGAGTCTGGACATTTAATTTTTAGGCTTAGTTGTGATGAGGATCTTTACACATGTATCTACAGTTCACGTAATTTTAAGGGTTTTCCCCAAGAGTATAAACGAGAAGGTTTTGCCCGTCCGTCCACGCTTCATATTAAGCTTGACAGACGAAAATTTCAAAATATCATCAAACTCAAGAATAAACGCAATTAACGCGAGAGACGCTTCAATAATGGCAGTAAAGAACTAAAAAAGGTTACAGTCTGAATTTGAGTATCTAGTGCTTGCCTTAATAGTACGGAACATTTAATGCAGAAATACGGGTTAATCCTAGTTGAATTATATACGGTAAAAATTGTTGATTATTTTGGTCTAAGACTAAATAAAACACTTTTAATCTAAACGTACAATTTACTCATATATTTCTCGTTTGAAACCGTTAAAAGTGTTTTTGTGGTCTAGCTACTCGCATAAACTACAGGCAATTCTTAATCTGCTATCTAATGAATTGCCAATTGTAGTAAGATCTAAACTCAATAGGTCCGGCTGCGCAGACGGCTCTCGAAAATAATTCAAAGTTGAACGAATTTAAGTAAAGATTCGTAAATAATGCGCGCGTTTTATTTTTAACAAACGAAGGTCGTGAATGGCTTCTTAAGGAAACAGAATGGCAAGACAACTACAGGTGAAATAATTTATTTAACCTTCCTTTATATGACGCGCGGCATGACGTGGTCATCGATGTTCAATTTGTGTGCAGTTATTGTCATAAGTAATAACCCAATGACTAACATAGACACAATGAAAAAATGTTTTGTTTTCATGATGCAACAGAATGACATTTGGACAATTTGTTTTTTCGTAACTCCTCGTCTTTTAAATTTTAACTGTTACCCACGACGTCGACCGCGTCCTGTCGTTCTTCCAAATTAATCTTAAAAGATAGACATGAACTGTCGTGAATGCTTTTTAGATCGTTTAAGGAGGAATTATTTATCATAGACATATCATTGGACCGATTTTAATAATTATTTTTTCATTAGAAAGCTACATTATTACTGAGTAACATAGGCTATATTTAGTACTCGATTACTATAGATATCTATAGAAATTCTTACTAAAACCAACGGAAGGCGTAAAAAAATTAGCCGTAAAAAGTCTTTCTTCGCATACGCTGCGAAAAGTATTAATGATAGGACATAAAAATGTTCAACAATATTATAGAATATATCAATATCTACAAATAACATCGCGAGAGCATATATCTAACTATAGTAGTTACATCGCTTAAACTACTTTTTTACATTTAACAAATTGATAGAAATGCCGATCAAAATCAGACCGTGTTATCCATATCATTTATATTTTTTTATCCAAATAAATAGTTTAATATTCAAGACTGTCTCAATACCTGATGATTACTTTTTTTAATTATTTTATCGAGGAGCAGTGGGCTTCTTACGCAGTGGGCGCGAACTACATTGAATATTTCGTTTTTTTTTTAAACATTTTTATGCTTCACCTAAAAAGTACTTCTCAAAGCTAATTAGTTTTAGTATTAGGAATTACACTTTGCATAATATTTGTCAAAGTTCTTTTCAGAACTATCGCTTTGAACTTGAATATTTTCTTTTGTAATATTATTAGTTTATTCTTTACTTCTCTGATTTAAAATAAATATTTAAGAATAGTTCCAAAGCGGGATTAGCAAAATTTTGTCGTATTGGAGCGTCTTTCAGATGCGTAGTTTGAGTAGTGACTCAAAAAATATGTATGAAAGAATGATTCCCTTTAAATTATTTAAACAAATGTCAATAACAGTATATGTCTATATTTTAGGATTAACTTGGACGCAACTGACGTCGTAGCAAATAGCTCAAATTTATAAAAATGAAGAGGAGGCTTGCAAAAAAAGTTGGATGCCCAAAATAACTATACTACGCGGATTTCTTCTAGACATATCATCGTAGTAACATCTTTTTTGCCTTAATCTTATTTAGTGGTAGAACAATGCGAATTCGGAAAACGAAAATCATTCTTAGTTATTCGTTGTTGAGACAGTTATGAATATACTTATATATGTATGTGTAATTGTTTTTGTATTGTACTTTTGATAGTGATTACCTTTTTACGATATTGTCGACATAGTTCTTTAAATGTAAAGATAGACGTATGTTGAAAAAAAAACTATTCACCATTCTTGTATAAACTTAAAAAAAGTCCCTAAATGAAGATAATTACAAGATCATACTTGTCATTATCAATTTCAAAGCAAAACCAGGGTTACCGGTTATCGTGCGAGGTTTTCCCCACGTTTGAAATTACAAGCTTTATAGAATACCTAAGAATCAATTGAAATACAGACGACACTGATTTTTCTTGATGCAATTCCAAATATGGACTGTGGACCTATAATTGTGGCTTTGGACATTCGGAAATCCACAACTGAAACTGAAACGCAAATACGTCAGGGATCATCTCTTGAATTAACTTATTGACTCCGACTAAAGTTTCACCTCAGATTTTCCAGACAACGTCCAACATATTTCAGAAAATATATATATTGGTTAGAAACATGATCGACTAGTGGAAATCGAGGACAACCCGTTGATATTTAGCCATATATTACCACCATTAGACCAACGAACTCGTATAATTATGAATTATGAATGAAAATATAAGATTGCTAACCAGAAGCGTAGCTAGACAGAACAGGGCCCCAGTATTTATAAAAAGAATTGGGTCCGTCTTACTTGCTTACTTAACAAAATGATATATAGGAACAAGATCTATTAATTTTAAAAAGTAAAAAAAAACAACTTTTTTTCTTTTACGGTTTTCTCTTTTCACAGATGAGTTTAGGTTCCTCATAAGGTCTGGGACCCTGGTGTCATTACACCACCGGGCCCTACGATAGCGTCGCAACAAACCAAGCAGTTATCTTAAACTAATATAATTCAATAACTAAGTTTAATTGAACGTAATATTAAGCACACGTTATCAGATAAACGTTGATAAAAAATTGTTGACCTGCATTCAAGCCGGCATTGCTAATTGCCTTGCTCAGTTTTGATAAATCGTGGTAATGCGTTTATAGATATAGTATCTATTTCCAAGTAATCGCATCGTTTTAAACAGCCTAAAGACTCAAAACAAGAACAAACAAGAACGGAAACAATGTTTCTGGGAAATCTTCCTGAAAAAATAAATCATGTGTACTTTCATGGGGCATACATTTCTAAGTCCGTTCAGAGTTCTATACCATGCCCAAACAAAACAATATCGTCTTTTAAATACTTTCTATAGTTTACGCGAGTAGTACACATTTAAAGAAAACGCTTTAACCGTTTAAAAAGCAATATATTATGCCGATTCTGTGCTTTGCAGCAGCCGTGGTCACGGGGAGACCACGGCTGCTGCAAAGCACCCGAAACGTCGGGCCGAAGTTAAAAATCATTTTCAAATAAGTTTAACTAAAATATCGCGGTTTAAACCGTGAAAGTGTTTTATTTAAATATCATCTTTTCCCAGGAACTAAAAACATGTTTACCTATTTGGCTACAGAGGGCCGGAGGCTTACGTCCGGCCCTGTCTATTCTCAAGATTATTTTCCATCGATAAGAGAACGGATAAAATATAATATATCCTTAACCAACAAATTCCTAAAATACAGAGTTACACGATAATAGTAGAACGTTACTAAGTAGCCGTTATTAGGTACTAGCCCGTCGACCTTTGACATGATTTTTATCTTTTATATTTTCTCATTTTAACGAACTAATAGTACAATTTCTACACAATTTAGACTTAGGAAGTAAAACGTCATAAAACTATGTACCCCAAAAAATAGTCACGAGTTTCCGATAAAGTATAATCTGTCCACGACTGAATTGTAATTACACAGATAAATAAAAATAGGTAGATAAAAATGCATTTAGAATAATTAAAATTTGTGTGTTTCGCCAGTTAGGTCGTTTTATACGAATTTATACATTGATAAGCGTGATTAACTTTTACATTGTTTTTTATTCATGCTTTAATTTTAGAATGTATATATATTGTTTATCTTAGAAGAAGAATGTTGATAAATAAAAAATCACGATTAGGTAACTACTGTGTTAAGTGGATTCTTGAATTGTCTCCGTATTAACGATAAGAAATAATTTTCATCTATCGAATTCTACTTTTAAAATTAAACTTGGAACACCGATCGAACGGAAACGCTTATATGTATATGCGAAGATTATGGATATCAACTGAGTGTAAAATCACTGTCCCATATGGAGTTAAAGTTATAATTTGCAATCGCAAACATTGTGAGGGTCAGACGTAAATACCGACCAATAGCGGCGCAGACAAATAACACTAGCTTATTGGGTGAATAAATAAGATATTTAAGTAAGTTACAAAGCCCATAGTGCTTTAGTACCTATATATAATTCAGTTACCGCCAGCACGCAAGCTAATACATAATATACACACATAAACAAAGACAAGGAAAATGTTCGAGCGTCGAACGTTCCTCGATAGCAACTATGTTCATAAACATTAAAATGGCACATGTAGATAATGATAACCTAATCCAACGTACCTTTGACCATCTCCGCATTCTGAACATTCTGCGTAACAGAGACGAACTTGGGGCCTATATGGACTTTCTTCGACTGCGTCACGTTGAGATTGGATATCGACGGCGTTGCAGCCGCTGCAGTACTTGCGACAGCTAGGATCCTGTCATCCGTGACGACCATGGGGTTGACAGCCGCTGGCCCGTTACAAACACTAGCGTCATTCTCTTCATCTTTTTCAGTCCACATAACACGAAATGTACGCGCGACGTATCACTGAATGTTGTGAGTTGTGACTAACGAACGCAGCGCCCGCGACGCTACACTTAATCATCGTGAAGCGTTTGCTAATGATAAGGAAACGATGTCTTCGTAGCTTTTTGCTCCGCTTCGGAGAATTGCTCACGCGATTTGGGGTGTTTATTTTAATTCGGATTTTAAATTTAATTTGTTTACACGGCAGGTTTTCGTGTCCTCTGTTAGGGTTGCATCTCACAGAATAAATTGTTAAATAGCTATATTTATTAACTGAAAAATACGCGAGTAGTACACATTTAAATAAAAGACTTTAACCGTTTAAAACACGATATCTAAACTTATTTGAAAAGCAGCCGGAGCCAGGAGGTCACGGGACCTCCCCGTGTGCTGCAAAGAATCCTACAATAGTTCTCCTCAACAAAGTTACGTATATATATACACCCTTACATCTAGCAAGCGGGGTTGGTTAAATAATTAATGAAGTAATTACAGATAAGAGACAAAATGTTAAAAACTATGTTTCTTATAATTTTCAGATCTCAGTCTCTTGTCTTCTATATAACACTTAATTTTTTTTTATGAACGTGTTATATGTATATGTAAATAATCGTAAAAAGTCTTACCTCTAACTTGCGATTATACAGCGTGTTCGGTCCCAGAAGTTAAACGATGTGTAGTGAAGTCTCGAATTTTCACTCATTTATACACTGACGAATATAGAGGGGAAGATTATCATAAGATAATGATTTAAACGCGGACATTGGGAAAGAACCGAACACGAAAGCTACTTATAATCCAACGAGTGTGATAAGATTATTATCTTGTTTACTAAATGTTTTAAAAGTAAACAGTTCTTAATTGAATAAATAAATAATTAACTATGGTTGGTCCTGGGAATTGTTTAAATGGAATTTGATACGTGTAACATTGACAGGTGTTTTACGAAAGGCGCTAAAGATTTCATTAATTTTTAAGGTTATGAATATGAAAACCGTAAAGGTATTTCTGATAATCTCATTGTTATTTTAATGGAAACGAGATCCAATTTATTTATTTTTCTTGTATCTATATTAAAGTTTTCCCAATATACTATATTCCTATTTTTTATGATGGGGGAGATCAGACAGCCATGCGCACCTGCTGGTAGATTTTATTTATTTATTTATTTATTTATTGGTCTGCCAGCGTTAAATTACATTCATACATTTATAATATTTACATTCATAAAGTAGGTTACAAATGTATTTAACAATTATTGGCAAACACATCATTCGCCAAAAGACAAGACAAATTAAATTAAACTTAAATCTATAACTAAAACAAAATAGTGTAATTAAAAAGGAAGAACGAAGGAATTATAACTAATAAGCTACAAACAAATGGAGATTAGGTTTTTTGCCTGGATTCGAAGCTTGTGAGGTGAATAAAAATGTATGTCGATGTCATTGCTGTATTTATTAACGATTTTACTGAGTCTGACATCTACTTATCTATATTACTATAGGCATTACAAGAGTCTGTCACCTCACAAGCCGGTAAATTACTTAAAACTAAATCCAATATTTTACTAGAAGAATTAGTTACACAATTGTGCTGTTTCAGACTATTCACATTAATAAAATCAACAAATGTTTTATAAAAATTAGGAACGCAATATGAACTATTATCATCACCCAACAATTTCCAATTAACATTATTCATATTAAAATCTCCAAGCAAACAACAATCAGACACATTTTCAAGAACAGAATTACAGTTATCAATAAAATTTTCTAAATTACGACGACTTACAGGGGGTGGTAGGTATGCTACACAAAAAGCTATTTGATGAACGGTAAACATTTTTGGAATATCTACAACTATCCAAATGTTTTCAAATTCTGCCTCCCAAGATAAAATTCTCCTAGATGTAACTCTTTTAGATATTGCTATTAAAACACCACCGCCATCGCTTTTCATTGTATATTGAGATTTAGTTCTGTCCTTTCTATAGACTATGTACCGTTCATCAAAGAGCTCTGAACTTCTGACAGAGTCGTTTAACCACGTCTCAGTCAGTACCACCAGATCGTAATCATTACATAGCATCTGTCTGTAAAATTCGTGAGTCTTAGTTCTTAATCCGCGGCTATTTTGATAATATATACTTAAGTTAAACATATTATATTTATTTTTGTAACAGGTAGATGTTAGGACAACCTACTCTAACGAATTGATAGAGTCCATATTACGAACTATTATGTAACCCGATTCTTCTGTTTTTCTCAGGAAAATGCGCCCATCGCGCACCCATACGTATTTGTAACCAGCAATCTTAGCTTTTATTCGTGCAGCTGCATGCAATGCCTTGTTGCCTGGTGATAAATGTTCGGTAACAAATATGGGAGATGGTTTACCGGAGAACCCAAGCATTGAGGAATCCAGTTTATTGCTAGGCTGACTTTTGTTGAATTTAGCGACGGAACCCAGAAAGCGGTCGCGTGTGCGCGGTGAAGACAACTGCACCACTATAGACCTAGATCGCGTACTAGTACGATTAGCTTTAGCAGTGCGGGTGAAATTTAAGATTTCTTTGCTGTCCAATTCACATCCAACCACTGTGGCAAGATTGTTAATTATACTCAACAAGTTTTCATTTTTATGCTCAGGAATGCATTGTATTTCGATATTATTTTGCCGTAGTCGTTGCTCAATATTATTACAACGTAACTGTAAGTCGCACACATTACTTTTTAGTTCATTATTTTCAACTTCCAATGCTGTAATTTTGCGTTTTGATTCTGAACATTCTGCTTTTAATTCTTCATATTGAGCAAGCAGTAACGTCATTGACGTATTCATAGTTATCAGCTCTTCTCTAAGGGGTTTCATCTCGTTTTGAATATTTAATTTGATACTCTCATTGAGCTTAGCAAATGAATCTTTCATAACTTCGCTTAAACAATTTTGAACAATACTGCAAACAGATTCCCGGGTAATCGATTCTTCTTTCTCAACTACGGGAGAATTTAACGCAAGCCTTTTGTTAACCCTGGAAGTGCTTACATTACGAACCGGTGTATTGTCGTTCTTAAACCCCTTCCGAACTTGTCGAACACATTCAGGGCATGTCCATACATTTTCCATCTCGGGACTAAAAGAGTTATCATCAAGCGACATACAAGCATAATGAAACCTTTTTTTACATTTCAAGCAAGTTATATAAGAATCATCCTTGCTTTCGTTCGTTACGCAGCATCCCCAATTTAATTCTTCCATGTTTTCAAAGAAACAAAAATAATATATATATTTTTTTAGCAGAGACTAACTTTGTATATTGCAACACTAATAATGTCGACTAAAGTCAAACGTCACACATCAAGTTGACACTGCGTTGTGTATTGACATGTATGTTAGTTGTCAATTCCGATGTGACAATTGTATGCAGAATGTGATAAGTGCAAACTTTACGATTATTTATCGCCTACCTCCAAAATTATTCGCCAAAGTCAAACAACAAGAAAATATTCTTCTTTCTCACCGCCAAACAAGGATGATTTTCACTAAATTTATATATTGAATTTAATTAACACTGTAGAATAAATGATTTAAGTGAAGTTTTACACTCAAAACTAGATGATTACTGCAATAAAACTAAGAAAAACTAAGGAGCGAAATGCGTCGTGTCGACTTCATATAACTAATGTGATAGATAATAGTAAGTAGGGTAGATAAATACTCCTGCCATATAATATCTAAATAAGATTCGCTGTCGAGCTATTTTTCGGCTTTGAATTCAAGGAAATCCACAGACTGAAATCGAAACGCGATTTGGCAGATTTTTCGTCTGTGGACGGTGGTTAGGGACCGGAAGTAATTCGATAGTACCCATACCACCTACCACTCATTTAATAAATAATTTTTCAATAAGAACAGAGCCTAATCTATATTTTTTGTAAATTAAATTTTCCCCGATATACTATTATTATTGTATTTAGTTCATTCTAAAAGAGATTACTATAATGAAAAAATAGATATATAACTTACCTAAATAGTACAACTGACCCTAACGACGATCACTTACAGTAAGTAAGTGGTCTCAATGCATCATTGTTGCTAGTTACCATCTGAGGAATCGGGTTGATTTTCGTAACATTCCACCTGTTGTAATAGATACAACCATAATCCCTTTCAGTAAGTCCGTCAAGAGTCTGGGGATCTTTATTGATCAAAATCTATCCTGGCGCCACCAGCTCAAAGAGCTCAGAACGTCTTCAAAATTTTTTCCCTATACCCACTAAAATCCTCATTCTCTACTCCTTTCTATCCTTGACTACGTCGATGTCTCTTACGTTGATTTAACGTAAGAGCAACTGAATAAACTTGAGCGACTACAGAATGCGTGTATCCGTTTTATCTTTGGGTTACGTAAATATGATCACGTATCCGAATATCGCCGAAAACTTAACTGGCTTCCGATCCGCTCGCGTCGGAACCTTCATGTCCTTGTTCTCCTTTATCGTATCCTTTTCGACCCTAAATCCCCGGCCTATTTAAAAGAAAACTTTCTTCCTTTAAGCTCACATAATTTGAATCTTAGCTCGATTCATAATCTTTTATTATTTATTCCTGCGCATAAGACTTCCTTCTTTAACAACTCCTTCACTATTAAAGCCAGTAATCTCTGGAACTCTCTTCCCTTAGACATCAGAAAAGCTCAATCTCTCCGTACGTTTAAAGTCTCAGTTACCAAATTTTATCTTTCCAGCTGTTAATTGCCTTTCTTTTTCACGATCCTTCCTAGCACCACCCACCTATAGTCTTTTTATTTAATTTTTTGTTTTTCCCTTCACTTCAGGTTGCCTGGAAGAGATCGCTGTTTAGCGATAAGGCCGCGTTTTAGTTATAACCTAGTACATAAGAATTTATTGTTGTAAACCATTTCTGTGGTGTTTGTAATTTATAAATTTAATAAATAAGTAAGCAAATATTGACAACAACTTGTCTCTGACAATTGTCATTTGTTTCATTATGTATTGTGGTTGTATGAGCGCTGTCTGGCAGACGAATAGTAGGGTTTTGCTGAAAACAATCTGTGAAGTGTAAAATACTCCCTACTTAACAAAATCTCAGAACCTCCAGCAATATAGTTACCAGATTTTAGTATTTTGATATCTTAAAGGTTAACAAACAACGGTGTGGAATAAAAAATCATAACTCAAAACAAACCATGCGTTTATTTTCATCACAAATTCGTATAATAGTAGTGTAACATGCTAATTATATTAAAACGATGGAAATAAATCCAAATGTATGTTATGTATTCTAGAATTACAACTACTTAAATCGATACAAAATATTTTTTACACTTTATGTTAATTATCACGTGGTTTCGCTACCCTAAAATGGTACCCACCTCGTATACCATTAACACAATAGATGCCCTACAGCATTATATGCTGTGGCTATTCAATATATTAACGCCAAAAGATCATAGAAGTTAGAGACAGTGGACGTCTATAGAATTTTACTATAGAAAGGGTTATTCTGGAGCATCAATGTCGTCTCCAATTACAATTTTTTACGGCGCATTTGAATAATTCAATTCATTAAATCACAAATGTATAACAATCATATATCTTTATTGAAATAATTGATAGATACAGAATTGCAATTAAGAATAATTTATTAAGAATAACCCTTTCTAGACTGAGAATCATATTCAAATAAAACTTTGATAACACAGATAAGTAATTTGTTTAGTTACGTATATCATTAATTAACACGTAGTAATCGCATATTTATATAGTTGCTTAGTAAAGATTTTTGTAATAAAAAGTATACCTTACAATAAATACATTAAATAATAAAAATTTCTGTGAATAACTAAACGCTTACAACATCGCTATATTAAACATAGCAATGTGTAAATCCTACACTAAATATTTATAAGCTTAAAATATTTATTTATTTGATCTAGATTCATATACTCCTGTAATAAGCTATTTAATTCGGGAAAAGCTGTGTTTACGAAATTTTATTGTTTTGTAGTTATCATGTACAGTCAAGACAAACGCCTAACCAACTCGATAACCAGTCCTTGTGCTAAATGTAGGGGATTGTACGAATCGTCTTTTTTATAAATTGGTTAGCCATTGGTGTCAACACTGATAAGCGAACCGATATAAATTTAAAACTGACTTTGTAACTTTATCACACAAAACCTATACTTATTGCGTGTAATTTATGTTGACACGCGCATGTATCGCGATTAAATAATTACGAATAATTTTTGGGCTCTCTGAGTTGCCATCGTTAAGTATGAATTAAAAAAATAGTATTCTTAATTCAAAAATAAAGTATTATTTGCCTGAATATAATACGTTTGAAACAAGGAGTTTAATTAAGAAAACAATAAACTGTAAACACAGCTGGAAATTCACAATGAACCGAATAAACGTTTCGGTACAATTTGCATAGTTATATTATAGTGCATAGTAGTATTTCTTTCAGTTTGTAAGGTTTTGATAGAGACAGCATAATTTTTTCAAACATGCCATGCCAATGCCGCATATTGTAAAAGCCTTATGCACGTGTGAATGATGCAACGATATTTTTACCTCCGATAGCTGTAGATCGCTTAATGAAATTCAATTGATATTAGAAATCTAATTTTTCGAATACAGAAAAAATATAATAAAGAAAAGGTGGTACATATAGAAAAGAGGAAAGTTAATATTTTACAATTCTTTATTTAAATATGGTAATTATCAGAGTTCACTCTCACTTGCATAAAAATGGCGTTCTCATCTTTTACAAAAATTACCTTATTATGGAATGTAATCATAGGTAAATAGATAAATTTTACGCCCGAATTTTTCCAATTTTTCTTAATCCTGGGCGTTAGTTAAAAACGATATTTTTAATTCGAAAATGGAATCAATTTTCAAACTTACTTTATAGCTTGCCTCTGAATTTCTTAAATCTAATTCACCGTAACTCGAGCACGTCGAGTATAAATGTATATAACTAATAATCTATACATATGGTACCATTTGGTACTTAATATTTTTCGCTTTTCAAACTCAATAAGATACTTAGCGATATGTAAATAACGTACAAAGTGTTTTTTAAAGTATCCAAGTTTTAATTTTTATAGTCTATGGTATTAAGTACAAAAAAGTTTATAGAACTAAGCATTATGTTTATATCTTATTATTTTATACTCTGTCTTATTATTTTGTATCGGTTTATACTTATCTATCATTTAAATTAGAATTTAGAACGACCATAATGTTCATGTGCGAAAGGGACAACGCTCTACAATGCGCGAAAATTGTTATCTCTCTCTAAAGATCCGAAATGCAATATTTACATGCAGCATACGTTATTTACATAACGCACATTTTTTATTTATTTTTCATGTGAAGGAGTCTTTTTTTTAATTACGATCAAATTTTGGTTTGTACTTAAGCTCCTGATTGTGCGAGTTCGATAAATAAATTTGAATTTTAGCGTATATTTTGTACCTAAATGTTTTGTGTATGGCAACTTGGCGCAATGCGCAGACGCTTGGGGCGAATCACTTTAGAGGTGCGTTATGATAATGTCATCGTCGATTTCATCTTTCTCGTCATCTTCTTCTGGTGGCTGCTTGGCTGCTTCATCTGCTGCAACGGGGTTTTCAGCAATTGCTTTCAATCGCAGCACCTGTAATTCAATATTATGGTTTTAGGGAAGACACGATTCCATTAAAAATATTCAATACAGTAGGATGGTCTTTAATCTTTTTTAGTTATTTCTTTAGATTTTTAAACAGTGAAATACTTTTCTTTTTGTGTAAAACAAAAATGGCTTTAAAATTTTACGGGATTAAAGTTTGAAAACTTTGACAGACGAGCCTGGGGTTCCATTGATGGCAGGCGAAATTATGCGCTGTCGGCCTAGTCGGCTTTGGATATTTGGAAATCCACAGACTAAAACCGAGACGTGATTTAACTTCACTGCTCTTCCATATGTGGACGGAATTTCGATATTCTTACCATCAATTAATATCCAGATTTCCAGACTCCAAAATGTTCCAGAGAAATTTTAAAATGATGGACCCGGTGGGGCTCTAACCCACAACCCGTTGATTATTACACTGTTACCATTACACTAAAGAGCCCGTCAAATAAGATTACCTTTCGCTTATGCAGGATTTCCACGATGAGATAGCCCAAGACACCAACGAGAAGCACGACCATCATCACGTATAGCTTCATTCTAGCACAAAGATGTGTGGAGTAAGCGTAGGCGACGACAAATCCAGCTGCCTCCCATAATCTGTAGTTGGAGAAGGCAGCCTCTTTGTTACGTCTGAAGAGAACTCCGTATAATCCTGAAAGAGATCATTAGCTTATAAAATTTTCAATATGAAAAAAAATTGTATACTGTAATATAGATATTAATTTTGTTGTAGTACTTCGTCGAAGTTATTTTTGGGCATCCAAATTTAGCTATCGATTTTTTTAAACCTCCATGACCCGTCGTTCTTGCAAGTTAATCTTATAAGATAGACATATAGTGTCGCGGACATTTTATAGATCATTTCAAGAGGAATCATTATTTCATACATATTTTTTAGTTATCTTGAACCGTTTTCGTAACGTACTCATCGGAAACATCGTGTTTTATAGCCTTAATCTATTAATGCTCTAACCAACACAATAAGAATTTTCATTTTAAACGAGTAGTTCCTGAGATTAGCGTATTCAAACACACAATCTCTTGAGCTTTATATATTAGTCTACATTTATAAATGTTTAAGTTACAGAATTAATAACTTTTTACTATACTATTAATAAAATATACAAAAAAACTGAAACTCGTTATATTTATCTGCAATACTTTTCACATTTCTGAGACCATATCACCAAACAATTTTATTTACAGGCACATTGTGCTTAGTTGACCAAACTTTGTGCCCTAGGTGACCAAAACAATTCATTGTTTGGGCCCAGGACTCGTGCTTATCGCAACTCTAGGCATTTTAATCATTGGGTACACGAACTAGAGGTAGAGTAACTAATCGTAAAGTTCGATAAAGACGTGCCTGTAGAGATGCGCGTGTCAATTTTCTTATTGGAAAATCGCTAAGATATCGATATCAATGATTGTATGTGTTTATTTCTTACTTTATAAATGCTGATTGCATGGAATTCACATTAAATACATGCTGCAATGTAATAAGCTACGGGTTGTGAGTTCCCCATCGGGTCCAAATGTTCCTAACTTTTTTATTAATAATTTTTCTTAAGCATGTTGGACTTCGTCTGGAAATCTGGATATAATATGGGTGGTAAGAACATCGAATCGCCGTCCAGAGGTAAAAAAGGCGGGAAACTTACACGTGACAGCGCAGCTATAGGCTGGGGTATCTCCCACAAATAAACGCGTTTAAAAATTGTACATTTACAAAATTCTACTAAAACATGTAATGTTCATAGTTTCAAAGAGCATGTCTAACATTTTACAAGCGCTTCCAAGTGTTAACAATTTCTAAGGTTTTCCTGTTGCGCCAAGTCCAAGTCATTGTTACGATAAATTTAATTATGCCTTATATAATTATTGTTATAATAGTTATAATGAGTCGTATAACTTACAGTGCTTGAATGGATAATATCTTCTTTATTTTAGATTAAAAAAAAAACACATTTTATCAAAAGTGATTAGTATCTAGCATTTTTTTATAGAAGAGGAATGACAAGCATCCGGTTTGCTTGACAGTTGGTAAAATACCTCCAGCCACTTAACATCTAAGGTGTCAACCTTTAGATATTCGGAATCCATAGACTGAAAGCGAAACGTGAATAAACTTCACTACTTTTCTATCTGTGGACGATGGTATTTTTAATACCCAGATCTCTAGACGAAGTCCAACATTTAAAAGAAACCCGGTCCAACATTTAGAAAAATGTTGGACCGGGTAAAATCCACGACACGAATCTACATACCGTCTTGCTATATTTAACATTCATATACAATATACATATTTTTCTTTTAGCTTCGAATTAACATAAAAAGACCGTATAATTAGTAATTCGTGGTTCTAGTGTAAGTCTAACTCAATGAAGAAGTAACATTTATTTTTATACAGATATGAGGTTGCTAGAAACTGAACGGCCTAATAACAAAATAACATGATTCTCACTAAGTAGGAAAATAAAGATGCGCTATTAACTTAGGCGAAAATGAATTTGTACTATTATTTGTGTAAGAATTATCTAAACAATTTTAGGTCACGGTATTCTTGTAGATTAACATTTTTAGACTATAAAAATATATAATAAGTCAACTCATACAATTTTAGTTAGGCTACTCTGCCTCTGTAGCCAAATGGTTAAACGTATTGCCTACAATTGCGTTACGCGCGAGAGGTGCTAGGTCCGAATCCCAGGGACCCAAAAAAATATTTAGGTCGGGCAGGGCACAGAAGTTTAGTCAACTACTTGCAAGTTAAAGAACGGATCCGTGCAACAGACACAGAAATGATCGCCCCATCTCCATGAGGGGGAAACGTGATTTCACATACACACTCGGCCTCGTGTTATTATAACATTAACTATATAATAGAAGTATTAAACGAGCGGAGGGGATTGTAATATTGTACACTGTATGCCTTAACATGTTCTATAAATTAAATACTGTCTATAGTCTATACTGTTTAAAATGCGATATATTAGTGATAGTATTAAACCGTGACCACGGCTGCTGCAAAGCGTTCTAAACGTCGGGCCGAAGTTAAAAATCATCTTTAAATAAGTTTAAATAATATATCGCGTTTTAAACCGTTAAAGTGTTTTATTTAAATCTTTTATAAATCCCGTAATTGCTCTAATCAAGCGCTATTTAAGTGTTAACGAACGCGCCGTAGCGTAGTTCTCATAATTAATTATGTCGATAACATCGCTTCTAACAGTCGGTATAATTACACAGAACGCTAACAATTTTAACGCTTGACACGAGTCTCTTATTCAAAAGAAACACACTGACTTAACAACTTCCTTGATGAGTCTGCTACGAGATTTCTAGAACTAGACTTGATTAAACCAAAATTAATTCTATATCACTCTTCGCGGTTCAACTGTTTTCTATAGTAAATCAATTCCCTATTTAATTATAACCCTAATAACAGGGAAAACCCCGTAAGATAATAGGTAACAAAATTTTAACTACGACCCGATATTTTAGATGCGTTGAGCCATGGCATCTATGTAGTAAAATAAATTGAAGTGACACATTTCAAGTTTTAAACCGTTTAGTTTTTATTTAAAATCTCTCTGACAAGCACATCCCTCAATGGCCTGGCCACATAACTTCTTATGCGCTGCCGATCTATGTCGGCTTTGGATATTCGGTAAGAATTAGATCAACAGCCTTCTGTTTCTTGTAAGAATGTAATATTGCACTCTGAATTTCAGTATCACTTGTAATTAACGTTTTAAACAAGTCAAACTGTGAATCACTTAAGTGGTCATAAAAGTCAACAAAAAATTTAGCGAAGGCATTCTGTTCAGAAACATATAATATGATTCAAGATATTATTTAATATTAAAGTACGTCAGTTTATTCAAGTTTGATGGAGTTTTGTATGCGCACTTATATGATAATGACGCGCTATTGTTATTTTGTGAATAGCTATATTATATTTTGGCCTTTTTACTGGGTACTGGAGCGTAGTATAACGCGTATTTTCGGACTTTTGTAACGATAGCTAGAACGTTATTTTACAAAAGAGTTCTGATTTAAACGTTGTATTAGGTCATTTTGATAAAATAAGATAGAATAATAGTTATAAGCTAAAACAATTGTATGTTGAAGTACCTATATAAAATATTTAAGGACAGACAGACACACAGAAGCGATAAATAAAAATGCAGTTTAAATAAAACACTTTAACGGTTTAAAACGCGATACTTAAACTTATAGTTATTACACGGGGAGACTCCCCGTGACCACGGCTGCTGCAAAGCATCCGAAACGTCGGGCCGAAGTTAAAAATCATTTTCAAATAAGTTTAACTAACATATCGCGTTTTAAACCGTTAAAGTGTTTTATTTAAATGTGTACTACTCGCGTAAACTATAGACAGTATTTAAAAATGCAGGTATTTAATCTATACGGAATTCAAGTGTCACGTACTAATGGCTAGATAACGATTGATAAAAAAGGTACCGCAGTTTTAAACTAACATTTTAACAATACAAACCAGATCATATTTTTTGGAATGACAAAATGTTAGTAGTCGGAGAATTAGAAGGCATTTGACCTTCTATCAAATAAATGTTTGCCTCTATTCTTCTGTGGTAGAAGTGTTCACGTCAATAAGTTCAAGAATCGAATTTTCTTTCAAGCAACCTAGTATTTATCTCTTCGAGTTTTCCGTAGCTAAGATCATCAAATCGACTACGAAATTTGACAATAACAAAATGTATTGTATACCATCTCATTTCGTTTCGAATCATTGTAGTTTTGTAACTGTTAGCGTATCTATGTTGTATAGTAATATAAACATGTTACATGCCCCCGTGTTCATAGCTGTTGCAAAGCATTTAATTTAAATGTTCATTGGAAGCAGGCATTCTTCTAATTAAATTAAAAATTAGAAATAGCTTAACTAGTAATTAAAATAAAATTAAGCAGACATCTTCTCATTTGATAAACAATAAAAAAACTACTTATTATTAAATTAAAGAATGTTTACTAAGATATTTCACGTTTTAATCCGTTAAACGTGTTTTATTTAAATGTAAATAAAAAGACTGAACCCCTTTATCGGAAGCAGGTCTCTTCTCATTAAAATAAAAATTACTTAACTAATATATTCCGCGTTTTTAACGTTAGCGTACCTATGTTTTTAGTACTAATCATATCTAGTAAATATTGAAAAATGTTATCAAATCACGCACAGATAAAACCTTGACATTCCAAAATAAAAATGAGGAAAGTAGAGTAGCATACTCAATAAATAACCAGTTTGCAAGTCAAAAAGTACCGTACACTTGTGTATTTGAATGTTCGACATATTTATTTAGATAGTTTGCAGTACGTACGAGTGCTTACGTTAACCGAAATACTTCGAGTACGCTTCACATTCGGATATTGACGAAACATACATAAATACAGTAACTAGTAAGGAAAAAGACGATAGTATTTAAATAGAACACTTTTAACGGTTTAAAACGCGAAATGTATTAATTAAACTTATTATAATTTATTTTAACTACGGCCCGACATTTAGCAGCTATAAAGCAGCAAGTGGTCACGGGGTGATACGTCGGCAAGTTAACATAAATTATAAATAAGTTCACCTAATACGTTACGCGTTTTAAACCGTTCAAAATGTTTAAGACGATTGTTTGCTTCTATGGCAAATCTTATTTTATAATATCTTATTAGAGAATATTTTAGTGTAGTTAATAATTGTAGTACTATAGTAATAATATATAGTCGTTCTTAAAATAGTCGAATTACTGATTTACCTACTAGTGGAACACCAAAATGCCAAAAGATTCACAATGTCAGACTTTACTAACTTTCGGTTAATCTATTTACGAATATTCGGTTAATCAACTCGCCTAGTATTTTACAATAGGAAGTCATAATCGTATACAAAAAATTTAATGGAAGTAGGCAAGTTTTTTTATGAACAAGGAAACGTGTGAAGTGAAAAATATTAGTCTTAGAACTGAACGATCTGCTTATTAGACTTGTGTTTACTGAGACAACAAAACACATTTATAAGTACTCGTTTGAATAGCAAATGTCAAGATGAGTTTGAGTTTTGCCTGGTTTAATATTTACGTTTGATTTTTTTTGGGTCTTCCATTCTTATTTACGCAAAGTTGGATTTTATATGCACGCGCTACCAAGTTTTATATTATTAGGAACATGTTCCATCCTGCGATATCAGCTGCTTTACAAGTATCCGAAACGTCGCGCCGTGGTTGAATTAAATTAAGTTATTTAATATACTTCGCGTTTTAATCCGTTAAAAGTCTTCTATTTATATATTACAGTCCCTTTATCGGAATCCACGAATAATGAAATTGTATATGAGTTAACTAATATATTCCGAGTTTAAACCTTTAAAAGTGTTTTATTTAAATGTTAGAGTACTTTATTTTATTAGTAGCAGGTCTCTTCTTATTAAATTAAATTTCTATTAGTGTATTCTTAAAAAAAAAACGAGTAGTAGTAATTATAATTAAATTTAAAAAAGTTTTGTAATATATTTCGCATTTTAGCTCGTTATTGATAAATAAATTTTAAAAAGTTATAAAATTAATATTGTCCCAAAAGGCGTATTATTGTCTGAACGATTTCTTTAATGACAAGACCGCCTGGCAGTAATATGAATTGCTCCTTAGGTTAATAAATTCACAATGTATTTGTTTATAAGACATATTTAAAACAGCCGGACTGAGTTTCTTGGGTATTCTTCTCAGTTATGTTGCTCTTTTGAACACTCTGTAGAATCACGACAAACAGACATACAAAAATTTTTTAACGAATCTAAATCATTTTTAAAATTTTAAAGAGAATAAAGTATACTTTATTCTATTTTATTTATATTGGAAGCAGGTATTTTTTCATTAAATTAAAAATTAGTTAACTAATATATTTCGCCGTTAAATGTGTTATTTTAATATTACATTCCCGTTTATTGGAAGCAGGTATCTTTTAACATGCGATAATAGATCTTTTAAGAGCCACTAATTCGATATTTTCCTATTCACTTTCGCTCGACCAATTTTTTAGAGCAGAACATGGAGGTACATTTTAATTTTCTTTTACAGTCAGACGCTGAAGCCACCTATCTAGAGTCAATAACCTTTTCAATACATTTAATGTAGTTAGGTTATCAGTAGATAGATAGAGTTAAGTATATGTGTTTTCTATATATTATAGGTTTAAGCCAATCTTTGTTTAGTTCGAATAATTAAGAATTTTTAGTTTGATTGCATTACTATTAAAAATATTTTTAGTAAATAGTTTGTTTGTTGAACGCGCTTCTCTAAGAAACTTCTGGGTCGAACTGAAAAAATATTTTGTGTTGTTTGGACCATTTATCGAGGAAGGCTATAAAATATCACGCTGCGACTAATACGCTAAGCAAAGTGACAGTGGAAAAAACTGGGAAAATTATTCATCTTGTAAAAATGGTTCAGTAAACCAAAGAACTATGTAAGAAACAATAATTCCTTTCTAAATGACCTAAAGAATTGTCAGCGACACTATTCTGTATCTATCTTTTAAGGTTAACTTGTATAAATAACGCGACAGACGTCGTTCCAGGTATCCAAATACCAAATTTGGATGCCCAAAATAATTATTTTCCGCGAACAAAGTCGCTGACACAGCTAGTAATTTATAAAGTTGAGAAGGTCGTTTGCTAAAATAGATAATTTGATGCCCAAAATAACTATTGCATGCGGACGAAGTCGCGGGCACAGCTCGTTCTTAAAAGACTTACCATTAACTTGAGTCTGCCACACGGCATCACCAACTCCCCATAATCCGGAGATTACGAAGAAAGTGGTCGGCGTCTCTGGGTTAGGCCTCCATATCAGCAGCCACACGATGAGCCCCAAGTGAAGGGCAGCACCCATCACCAATATGGGGAATCTTCCTATGTACTTCATCACCGACCCGAATAACAGAGAACAGATTGCGTTCACCACTCCGAAACATATCATGACGTAGCCGATGGATCTGATGCCCAATGCACAGGACACGTACGCCTAAAGAAAAATAAAAATACAGTGAGTGACAAAAAACTAGTGATTAGTCATATAGAGTTCTCTCGGTGTCTCAATTTTTTTTGTGATAGAGAAGGACCAGCATGGTTCTCTTGTTGGTAGATAAAATACTCCGTCTAATCAAGATCCTCTATCGACCTATTTTGGCTTCAGATATGGACGGTGGTCTTGACCCAGACGGAATTTCGATAATTCTACATTGCCGGAGAAAGTCCGACGTGTTGCAGAGGAATTATAAAATGTTTAAATAAATCACTTTAACGGTTTAAAACGCGATATATTAGTTAAACTTATTTGAAAATGATTTTTAACTTCGGCCCGACGTTTCTTACGTGTCATTTAAATAAATCACGTGTTTTATTTAAATGTGTACTACTCGCGTAAACTATAGACAGTATCTAATTATAAAATGATTAGAAAAATGTTGGCACCCGATGGGGATGGAAACCAAGGCCCGTTGATTAGTCATATATTGGACCAACGAGCCAGTCTAAGCATTATCAAATTGAAACATTTTTTGGACTTTTTGCTACGTACGACATAGAGGATCACGCTAATCTAACAAAGAAAACGAGAACAATTTGATTCAAATTAATACAGTTAATATAAATTTTATTAATGGCGTTATTGCAATTGAAGCGACACGGTATGCTTTTAATTATTCGAGTCCCATTTATGTCATTGTTTCTAGAAGAAATAAAAATACTTATTTAAGTATTGTCTTACGAGAGTAGTACACATTTAAACACTTAACGATTCATCCAGTTTTTCTAATTACCGACTACAAAGACACAGATGGCGCTAGCGTAGCAGGTTTGACTTTGACATTGGGATAGATACTCCATCTCCCCTCTCCCCATAAACACTGCTGCTGCGAAACATCCGTAACGGGCAGTATTTATACTTAAAAAGTAACTAATTTGATTTTTAGCTAACTAAAACTGTTACTGACTAATTTGCGTTTTAAACCGTTAAAATGTGTTTTATTTTTTTCTGGAGGAACAAATTTACCTGCGTATAATCAGCACCGATAAATGCCTGTTCCATTCCTATCCATAGCGTAATAGGAATTAGCAGTTGTTGGTTGGGCTTCTTGAGTTGGTAGGCAGTTGCTGAGAGCAATTGAATACCGGTCAACTCCTTTGACGGGTCAGATTTTCTTTGTTTTTCACCGTACCTGAAAACCAACACGCCAATTGGGTCTTTCTACGCTATACAAAATGCCTTTTCCATACGAAAAAATATGGAGATGGGATTAAAGTAAAAGATGATAAAACCACACTGGTTTTATTTATAGCATTAATTTTGCATACAATTGTTGGGCGTATGGAATCGGTACGATGCTTCGCCGCACTTTCTCGGAACGAGCGGTATTTTTTAATTCTATTATAAGTTGATATGAAACTCCTACAGATCTTATTTATGTTGCATAAAGACTGATATAAAGACTTTATGCAGTAGCTTCAGTACACATATAACATTAGCAGGTAGTCATTAGTGTGTACGTGTGCATATAGTGTTACTGTAGTTGGAGCTATGCTAATGCTGTTGTCCCAGGATCGCATCCCGTATATGTATGGAAATGCAAGGACCAGTAATAATTTAGATAAGTAGCTAAACTGCATATAATATAACAGAATGCAGATGCAGAATATAATATGACGTAAATATCATGAGACAAATGTTTACAGAAGACTTTTCCAGGAGGGATAAAAGGGAAGGCAATGTGTTACAATAGACTATAATCATTTGATCAAAGGCATTCCCTAGACAGGGCAAACAGACAGATCGCGAAGTTTTAGTAATTTTTTCAAGATGATGTTTTTGTTATTCCTTATATTAATACCTTGATAAAGGATCCACTAGGAAGGCAACCATTAAAACGGCAACGATGATACACGCAAGATATATAGCACTGATCTCATAGATCTCGTTGTCTGGGGGTCTGTGCAGGTTCTGGTTATCATGGCCACCACCACCGACCATGCAAAAGTTAGCCCCACATGTCAGCAAAGTTGCACTTCTGTTGTCCGTAGTCACGTTTCCGCTGTGTACTCCTGATGAGAATACTGTTGGAGAAAGAAACTAGTCAGGATATTGTTTAAACAGTTTTGGCTGAATGCTGGTCTTCTCGCTTAAATTAATAAATAGATTTTGATGGAACAGAACGATAATGGAAGCTGTATCATTCTTTTTTTCACGAATATAATCGCAATTATATCAAATTCAATCGAGTTATGATTAAATTTTAAATAGACTTATCATAATCCAAAATCATAGATTTATTGTATATTGTCAGTTTGTAAAAATTGAAAATGCATGGTCGTCTACTTTGCTTTGCTTAAAAAAAACTTATAAATTTAATAAATGTGTGAGATTTTAAAACATAAATATAAACAACATTTTATTCACTCGTAAAGGTTTGGGCGTACACGAGAAAGGCGTACGTCGATCGAAATTTATTGACGCTACAAAAGCAAAAACGATCCTTCTTCCGACGTGACCCTGGTTGTGAAATATAAAACACGACATAAGAATAAATGTATCATAATAGGAATCACGTATGTTAAGCATGTTAATTAGCGTACGTGGGAAAATTGTAACAATGGTACATACCTAAACTGGATATAAGGTTGCCCCAGAGTTCAGCTGTCTGCCAAGCGAGGAAGAAGAACCCGAAGAACCGTACAATAATTCCATCGACAGCCTGGTCTGTCAGCTTGGCGTACACACTTCCCACTTGCGTGAGATACGTGGCCTTTGCCGTCCACATAGGTGCTGCTCCAAGACCGACCAGCACGCCAGCTGGTACCAATGTATAGAAGGCAGGATAGAACTGCGCGCCAATATACGGCGCGTAGCATAACATGGAGAGGCAAAGTGACCACTTAACAGTCAGTCTTTTTATGAGGAACGTCGGTACAAAAATGCAGGAGACCACCTGGGCCGCATAAATGGAACTAAGAGATACAGTCCCAAGACCATCTCGGGCGTTGATCGAGGACTGGAGATTCGCTGTTCCCTGGAAAGCTGTAAACTGGACCATGAACGCAGCGCTGACGGCCGCAATGTTCTTTAGGATCCTCCATTTCTCCCCTCTAGATAGCTTCACCTTTCCGGAAGCATAGGAGTCGTCTTCTATCGGGAGTGGGGGTGGCTTAACGATATCATTGTTCGCATCGCGGTCATGTTGGTAGTCGTTCTTGAATCCCGTTTTGATTGTGTAAACGGAGTCCTTGACCGGGCGGTCATCTTCACAGCCGCCGCCGTGCGTCGCAGTCATGCCGTGTTCTCTTTTTGACCTGTTGACAATAGAACGATAAATATTAAAGCAATGTCACTTGGACCTCATTGGAGATACGTTTCTCGAACGTTACTTTATGGCTTTATGTATATATTAACTTAATACATTGTGTGACATAATTCTAAATAAGTCAAGTAAAATGCTAATACTTTCCTTTCAAGGGAATAAGACCCTTCTCTATTAAACTTTAAATTGTTTGGCATTGGATAAATATTGCAAAAGCTATTATACTTGTTTTTGTAAACAATATAAGCTGTGTACTCTTCGTTGTCTAAGACGCAATGACATTTGAGAGTACGCCGCGGTAAATCGCAAATTAAAACAAAAGCTTGTTATGATCAAGGTGCTGTGGTTTCTGTAACAATTCCGATTCGATCCACATTCTACATTACAACGAACGACATCGGCTGAGTACATACAGCACCATTGTATTGTGTTTCACAAACTATTTCGTCATGACATAATCGTCGGACGACCGCACCGAGAGCTATGGGCTGATTGAAAGGCAGAGTTTTTAAAATTACAGTGATTAAACAAACAATACGAGGGAAGTACTAAGGATATGATTAATTTGATATACATGTTCCGCGGTCCGCAGAAATGCTGTTGTGCTGTTGAATTACGTGGTAATTGCTGGTGGAACATTCTGGTACTGCGATAACAAGGAAGCCACGCTAGTCTGGTATATTTAAATACAACAGAATCTGTTATGAGTTTACCGAGTGACCAACACTATAGCAATAAAACTGTGAGGTATCCGACAGTAAAAATTGTAAAATATCAACTTTTAGAAAGAGACAATTTACAATTTAGGTAAGGAAAAGTTATTTCTGTCACGCACTTTGACAGTCTGATTTGTGCGTACAATGTTCCTTTATATTAACTTTCATAGCGCCTTATAAGTAAAAAATATCTATCCTTCTCTGTCGTACACACAAAATACAACGAATATAAACGCTTGTATATTTTGTGTCATTTGATGGCACAGGTGTCATTCGGCTTTGTATGTTTAATATGGATTCTATGACGATTTAAAACATATACGATTGCGAGAAAGCGAATGATAATGTTTATTTAACAGTTGAAAATCGTGCAATGGTTAGATCACGGAGTCTTAGGTTCGAACGAGGGCCAGGCAAAAGTTTGGTTCGCTATTTTTCATTTTTCCAAGTACATAATACTAAATTTTCCGTTTAAAAACCTGCTAAAACCTACCGAAGTGTCACCAAAGCGTTTTTTCTGTGTTCTAATCAATTAATTTCTTTGTATACGGAACTTAATTAATTTTCTTGTACATATTAAATAAAAGCAATTCTTAATAACTGAAAATAAGTGTCAAGGTATATCACGTTGTATACTAAATATACTATTACTAATATGGGAATCGATTTCAATTTTCCATCACACAATTAAGAGTCCCAATACGTCGAAAAGGCAATTAAAAAGGACCAATGGAGATGTGTTGTAACACTAGTACATATTCTGCACAAGTAGACTCCGAAAACAGCGTGTACCCACCGAATGTTCCATTGTGAAACTTAATAGGTATGTACAGTCGGGTGCAGAGAACGCTTACCAACTATAAAATAACTTCTTAATACGGAGTCAGCATTAATTTTGAAGACTATTCGATCTTTGAGATGTTTTAGCATATTAGCATAATAAGTTTGTGTTGATAAAGTTATTACTTACTACATTGACATGTGACATTAAAAATTAATATGATTACTGATAAAGGTATTTTTTTTTTAATTTTGGTAATTTTCAATGGTTATTTATAATTGGAACATGTTTTGTGGATAAAGTTTCGTACATTATTTTTGGATGAGTATAGATATAAACAATAATGAAAATATATTTTAACATTTTGCGTTTTGCATTTTCTGTTCTGCATCCGACTATACTTGATTGTTTGTTGAGAGATCGACGTACCGTGTTGACATTTATCCGTCTTGTTTAAACGTGCTATGAAAACACGGTGACAATGCTTTAACGGAACAATTTGTAAGACTACCGTGACAAAATTGAATATAAATAGATATACTTAGGAAAACACTATGATTTTTATGTATATTGTATATTCTATGAAAACCTAAGAATATTTTAAATTAAGGAAATGAAAATAACTTTCTAAAAAATAAATAGACATGAAAGGTTTTCTCTTTATTCGTCAATATATCTAATGGATCATAACCATTTTATTCATAGTATATATACATAGGTTGGCGCTACGTACAGAGAGTGTATCAACATCGGGGCATATAGAAATATATATGTTAGGATTTAAATAAAACACTTTAACGGTTTAAAACGCCGCAAAGCATCCGAATCGTCGGGCCGAAGTTAAAAATAATTTCCAAATAAGTTTAACTAAAATATCGCGTTTTAAACCGTTAAAGTGTTTTATTTAAATGTGTACTACTCGCGTAAACTATAGACAGTATTTTATATGTTAGGATGTTTAGGATTCGTTTTACGGCAAAGCAACGACTTCAGTAGCCTTTCTACGGTTCGAATTTTATACGACACCTTAGTGAGAAGCCATTTAGAATACAACGCTACGGTTTGGTCTCCTCACGAGGACAAGTACCGGTTGATGTTGGAAAAGGTACAAAATAAGTTTACACGTTTTCTTTACATGAAAACGTACGGTGTATATCCGTATTATCCATTGATTTGTTCGTACTGGGTATGGTGGGTTATACGGAGCTTAGAGTGAGAAGGGACTTGTCTCTTGTAGCGTATGTTATAAGGGTATTGCGGGGAAAAGAAACTAATATGCAAATGTACATACATAAAAGGCATCGCCCAAGTTTTATACAAGTACCCTTTGCTAAAACGAATTTGTTAGGAAAAGCGACTTGGACCAGAGCAATAGAGGTAATTAACTTACTTCATAGACAAAAAGACATGTTCTATGATGCATGGAGTGAGCTCGTGAAGTGTATAATATAAGCTGATAATTACTAATGGTGAACTAATGATACTTAAAATTACTTAATAGTTAGTTATAAGTCATAGTTTAATTGTGTTGTATATTTCTATGTTAGTTTTTAAGTTCAGTGTTGAATTGGGCTGCCACCTGTCATGACATTGTAATTTTAATAATGAAATAAATAAATGTTTTTAAAAGACATCGGGATTATATTTTCGGAAAGCATTTTGTGTCATTTTTATGACAGAGATAACTGTCGACCTGTGAGAATTTTAATAATTAAGTTTCGTGATAGAGAAATTCAGACAAGTATGGAATTCACTTAATGGAAGGTACCACAGTCATATAACGTCTACTTACACTAGAAATGCAGCTTTGGATATTTGGAAATATCCAAAGTCTAGAGTTTAAATTTCAATAACAATGAAGGAGTAATAAAATAGCGTATCCAAGTTTTGTTTCACTTATTCAAGTTTCAAACGTCTGTTATTGAAAACTACGCTTCTTTGAATAACACACGGTCAATTCCGTTCATATATCTAATGCAAAGAAATAAAAAAACCGATAACACCTGTCATCAACTTGAACTACCTTTGCAGAAAACGTTGTTTACTTGGAATCTACCCGTAACGAGTATGTTTTTCCCATTGTTCTTCAGTTTTATTCTTCCTGTGCGGTATTACACAAATCTTATGCAATCCTCCAGTGAAGATAGCCATGAATTATGTCGTATGATGGCTAATTTCAGCAAGTTATTAATCTTGAATGTACAATAGCTTTGTTGTGTACGCTAAAATGTAATACAAATAAGCTAGTTAAGCTATTCCACTGTGTTTAATATTAATACGTGAAATCTAGCCTTTGTAATATTGCTGTTTTCGCGTTGCAGCGTTTGAAATAATGTTTTGATCTTGTTTGTATGTCCTGTTTTTTTTTATAGAAGAGGACAGACACCAAGCCATCATGGCTTTCGCTTGATGGTAAGTTTAATACCCCAGCCATATAACATTTAAACAAAATACACTGTTGGCTTTTTAAATTGCACAGACTGACACCGAAACGCGATAAACCTCACGGATTTTTCATCTGTGGATCCGAATGGAAGTTTGATATTTCTACCATCCATTCAATATCCAGATTTCCAGACGAGGGCTAACACCTTTTAGAAAAGATATAAATTGATAAAAAAACATGTTGCTCCGATGGTGATCAAACCAACTATCTTGTCAAATTTTATCTTGTTTCCAAAAAGAGATACTACGATGTGTTTCTCGATTAGAAGAACCTCCAGAAAACCATGATATAACATATTAAACGCTTGCACTATTTAGAAAACACTTTAATGGTTTAAAACGCGATTTATATTAAACTAATTTGAAACGTAAAAAGTAAAAAATTGCTACGCTAGCGCCATCTGTTCTATCTGAACTATTTAGAAAACACAGTAGAACCCTAATTAGCCATCACTTACGCCTAATTTAGTTTGTGCTGATACAGGAAATCCCAACAATTCGGCTGGTTAGCGTGACTAAACAAACAAATAAACATCGCCATTCAATGATTCTCCCACGGTGTCATAGCTATCTTCACTTCCTGCCTGAACAACCCCGTCATTATTAGGTAATGAGCCAGCCAAGGTTGCTCTGACAAATTTGCGAAGCGATACATCGCTTGTACATTAATCAAGCGTTCGGTTTAGAAAATTATATGGTTATGCTGTGCACGTTTTGTAAAACGAGACCAGTAATGCTTTGCTTTGGAAGAACAAAGCCAAATCCTAGATTTCATTAAATTAAGGTTAGTTTACCTTTTTTGATAGTAAGAGTCAAAATCATCACATCGCAATTTGAAAAATCCTAAAAAATTCAGAACTACCATCAGGCTCTATAGTTAAACTTGTTTTACCACGAAAAACCCTGGGTTCGAATCTGGAGGAAATAATTTTTCTCTTCAACACCTTGTCTGTTAAAGATCGTTCAGTAAAATAGTTTGCGCCATGTCCACCAGGGGAATTTGTTATTTTTATTTTTGTACTGGATTATTA